TGTCAGAAGCTAGTGCCTGCAGCAAGCTTAGGCAGAGCAGGGGCTGCTGTGGGACCACAGGGGATCCCATAGCTGCCTGAAGGGATGCCCCCTCTTCCCAAACCTTCACCTGTCTGACTTCCCTTGAAAACCGAGTCCCTCCTTGCAAGGCCGGGGACAGGAGGAACGCCATCTTGTCTTCATTTCAGCTTTTATGCCAGTGCTGGATTCTGGCAGTTAGCTGAAATAAGCTGCTGCCACTAGTAATCAATGGGCAGTTTCTATAGCTGAGGTCACCAGCATCCAATGGTACAGTCCAGAGATCTGCAGACACTGAGTTTCAGGCCCGTCTTGAATGGTGCATCATCACCTTCACTGGGAAGACCCTGGGAACTTCCTGCAGTCTGGTGGCAGTAGAGCTGGCTGGCGCACTTCTCCAGGGCAGTTAGTCAGTTCCCTCAGCACTTGGTGAATAACTGCAGCTGGGAAAAACATTCATCCTGCATCCACTGTGTACCAGGCCACTGTGCTGCTTTCCACGAGTTTTGTCCCTGACACCTCTGTGAAGGAGTTCTATGGGACTGTCACCTGTGTCTCAGACCAGTGGCCTGATGCTTAAGACTTAATGGGCCAGTTAAATGCCACACCTAGGGGGCTGGAGAGACGGCTCAGCGGTTAAGAGCACTAGCTGCTCTTCCAGAAGACCTGGGTTCAATTCACAGCACCTACATGGCAGCTCACAACTGTCTGTAATTCAGCTCCAAGAGATTTGATACCTCAGACATCCATATAGTCAAAACACCGATGGACATAAAGTAAAAATCAGTCATTAAAAAAAAAAAAAAAAGAAGGGCAGACTAGGAGGAACCCCTGGCAGCCATCACCAGCTTTTAGCCTTGGAGAAAACTATGCCTATTGGGGGGTGGGGGTGGGTCAGAGCTGCCACCATACAGTGAGCACTTCACTTCTTCACAGATGTGTGTTCCCTCACTGGTCTTCCTACAGCCTTTGTGAGGCAGGGCCTGTGTTGCGTCAGTGTTCACTAAATACTCCCCTTTTCTATAAAGCTGAAGCCAAGGTGGCTGTATGTGGCTCGTGACCTCCAAGCTCAGTCCCTGCCCAGACCTTCTCACGCTAGCCCCAGATCTTCACGTGGCTGACTCCTCTGAAGTCAGATTCTGCAGCCTGGATCATAGCCTGGATCACACAAGCTTCCTCACTCCCAAACTATGCCCTGCACAGTGTCTCCTGTGCTGTAGATTACAAGCTCTTTGCAGCCTCGGAGATCTGAACTGTGACTAGGCCCTCACACCCACAACAGGTTCTAGCACACGTTGGATACAATATTCCAAAGATCTATTGTTTCCCCCAAAGTCTCTGAAAGACACAGTAAAGCCACACAGCTAAGGCATGTTAGGAAACAAATTGAGACCCAGGTCTCTGGTGAAACTTCACATTGCACAGCCAACTTTTCACTCTCTCCCTCTGCTCAGCAGGCCCCACAGTAGTGTTATACTAGTTCCTCATGTCTGGTTTCTGTTCGCAGACTACGGTGACAAGTTGAACATGGAGCTGAGTGAGAAATACAAGCTGGACAAAGAGAACTACCCAGTCTTCTACCTCTTCCGGGACGGGGACTTTGAGAACCCTGTACCATACAGTGGGGCAATTAAGGTCGGCGCCATCCAGCGCTGGCTAAAGGGGCAGGGGGTCTACCTGGGCATGCCTGGTTGCCTGCCTGCCTACGATGCCCTAGCAGGCGAGTTTATCAAGGCTTCCAGTGTAGAGGCCCGCCAGGCCATCTTGAAACAGGGGCAGGATGGCCTCTCAGGTGTGAAGGAGACGGAGAGGAAGTGGGCCAGCCAGTACCTGAAGATCATGGGGAAGATCTTGGACCAAGGGGAAGACTTCCCAGCCTCAGAAATGACGCGGATCAGCAAGCTGATAGAGAACAAGATGAGCGACAGCAAGAAGGAGGAACTGCAGAAGAGCTTGAACATCCTGACTGCCTTTCGGAAGAAGGGGGCTGAGAAGGAGGAGCTGTGACAGAGCATAAGGGGTTTCCAGGGTTTGCTGGGGGCGGGAAGGGGAAAGCCACCTGTTGGCTGGAGGCCCCTGTGGGGTACAAGGAATGGTGGAGCAAAGCAGTCCTGAGCCAGAAACCTGAGCTCTGAGTACGCCTGGACATTCATGCTGCTGAGACCATACTTAGGACATCCCTAGAGCCAGTGTGTGGAGAGCCTGTGTGCTCAGTTGAGGCTGGTGAGATGCCCCCCCACCCCCAGAGGAATTGGTGCTACAGAGGAGTTAATTCTGAACAAATAAAGTCTGTTTTGGTTAGATGGTTTTCTTTCCAGATTGTACTTTTGACCTGTGATTTGAGTTCCGTTTTGAGATTTAGCTGTTATGGCTTCCTCTCTTCCCCGCACAAGGCACTACCTCCTGGAGAATCATGAATGGCGAGGACAGGGTGCTGTCTGCCCTCTGGCCTTACCAATGAACAAGCAACAGGGCATTATCTTTCATGCTTTCTCTAGAGCAAATTCTTAGTTGTACTAATGTACTATTTTTAGAATTTATACAACCAAAGCCAGATGTGGTGACACAGCTGTAATCTGACCACTATGAGGACCAGCCTGGGGTAACTGAGATCCTATAAGTGCTCAACCAGATGAACAATCATTCCAATTTAAAGATTTAAATTATAAACTACTTTCCAACAGTATCACTTGCTGTAAGTTACTCTCAACATCAACTTTTTTTTTTTTTAACTTTCAAGTCAGGGTTTCTTTGTATAACAGCTCTGGCTGTCCAGGAACTCGCTCTGTAGACCAGGCTGGCCTCAAACTCGGAGCTCTGCCTGATCTGCTTGCCTCTGCCTTCCGAGTGCTGGGATTGAAGGTGTGTGCCACCACTGCCTGGCAAAGCTGACTTTAAACGGACTCCCCCCCCCCCCCTTTAGAGCACTGTGGCTCCTCCGCAGACACAGCTGTCAGAAGGGCAGGCCTCTTCTGTTCCCCACGCCTGCAGACTGCTACTTAAAGAGATTCGGGAAACAAACGCTGTGTTCAGTTGGATCAAGCCAAACAGACAGTTGCTTAAGCCAGGGCTGTGAACCATCCCCACACTTAAGTGTCCCTGCTCACAGTACAGAGTTTACATCTCAGGAACGAATCTGAGATCCAGAGGACCTAGTGTTTTCAGTGATTTCTCTAATTTTATGTGTCTGAATGCTTGCCCGCATGTATGTACGGACGCAATGTGCATGTGCATGCAGTGGCCATGGAGGCCAGAAAAAGGTGTTGGGTTCTCTGAAACTAACGTGGGAGATGGTTGTGAGCCACTCTGTAGGTTCTGGGAACCAAATTCAGGTCCTCACAGCTCTTAACTACTGAGCAAGCCATTTCTCTAGCTGCTAATATTTTCATTTTTAATTTTAATCAAAATCCTTTCTAGTCTCCTTGGGTGCTTCTGAAACACAGATTTACCTTAGCTGTTCTAGTTTATACCCATATCTAGGCCAGCCAACTCCAAAGGACAAAGTATTCGCTGTCTTATAGAAAGCAGAACACGCAGTCTTTCATGCCTTGTGACAGAGGGTGGCAGGCTACCCTGGGCCTTCCCAGGATGGGCTCAGGCTGGCTGCTATCATTTCTAACCTCAGGAGTTCTGGAGCAGGACTACATTACCATGTCTTCTATTTCAAGTTGAATCTACTTAAGAGATTTACATATGCCACAGAGGTGCAATCTCCCTCATTCTGCAGCCAGATGACTCCTTCCAGCAATACTGACACGGGACAGGAAGCAGGCTAATGATGGATATCTAGAATCTGGCTTCTTAGCACCATACGGCTAATACTGTTTAAGGGAATTCTTCAATAACCTGAAGCAGTAAACACTGGATCCAACATAAATTTTATTCTAAAGAACCTGCACTTATTTTCAGGGCCAAGAGGAACTTTTTAATTTCTAATGAATGCCATTAAAAAGGGTGGAGTGAAGCAAAAAAAGGAGTCCACGGCTAGCCTTGGGTTACAGGGAAGCACTGTCTCACGAAGAAAGGGTCTAGATTTTAGCTCTTGGGTGGGGCACATTCATGTTCCTGGCATCTACAGGAGCTACAAGTGGCCTAAAGCTGTGCCCCTCAAGCATGGACTGCGATGGGAAACCCCAAAGAACATGCATGATCACGTGACTAGCTCTGTACTCACCACTGTGAGGTTGGCATCAAATAGTAATAGCATCTGCAAAGTCAAATCATGTTGGGAAGGTTAAGAACAGCAGTGAACACTCTTTTTGTTAAAGGAAAAAATATTTAGATAAAGTTAATTCCTCCCTGAAGAAACAGGCAAAACTTGCTAAGGGCATGTGCTAGCAGGACAAAAAGGAATCAGGAAAACAGCTCCTGCTTCTACTACATGGTTAGTGTGCCCTTGAGCAAGTGGTGTGTGTCACCAGACAGCCTGAAGCCTCCAATCACTTTCCTAAGTGGGGCCTTTGCACTTTGACTATCGGGTCTCCAGACACATTGATCCAAGTTCCATCACACGGGATGGATCTACACCACACAGCCTCCACTTAGGATGTAGGGTCTCAGTGACTAACAGACGTAGCACAACTGCTCAGGACACACCTGTCAGTTAATAAATAGAAGTGTGCAAGGCACAAAGATACATTCTGACCTTTAATCTTTTGGTTTTTATTTTCATTTGTTTGTTTTTAAGTAGCTGCACATGGTTTTGACCTGATCCTCCTGCCTCCAGCCTGGGCTAGCCCAAGGTAGGGCTAACATTCAGTACAGAATTGAGATGAGGTACACTGCTTAGGAAGCTCTAAGTTTTAAGACTGAACAAAAATGAACCAGGCATGAGTGCCAACTAAAAATGAAAGCACTTATGTAAATTAACCTGTCCAGTTAAAGCCAAGTTGCTGCCTCTACTTAACTCTCAAGAGATTTCCCATACTAATAAATGTATAGATACTAATAAAAAAGTAGAAGAGTTTCAACAAGCCCGTGGATAAATTGAACCCCTTTTTATATTGAAAATGTTGAAATGAAAGACAAATACAGATTGAACGTGGTGACTGCAAAATATAATGCAATTTTGAACAATTAAAATTATGAAAATATACAAAATTGATGGCAGCACGCCTAGGTTTGTGCACACTCTCCATTATGTAGAGACACTACAGAGGACTCCGTCCACGTCAGAGAAGTAACTTGAACCCAATTCCTGCTTTGGAAAGTCTTGACTTAGGATCTCAGTAGTATAAAAAGCAGTGATTTTTCAGTCTGTAAACAATAGTCATGGTTTTTTTTTTTGTTTGCTTTTTGTTTTTTAAATATCAATTTACCACACAAAAACAAAACAGAACAAAACCCATATAAACCAGAACAGCAGCAGCAGCAGCAGCAACAGGTCACTGAGCATTCTCCTCAGATACTAAGACATACAACCGTGGGGAGAGGGTGCTTTTTACTCAGTAAGAATATATATATATATATATATATATATACTTTAACTGTACACAATTTATAGTGCATGACAGCTTCCAAAAGAACAGACTGATAAAAGATATTGGCCATTTCTTCATAATTTCATTCTTTTTACAATTATCTCAAAATGTAAGAATTGGATCTAATTGAAATGCTACATTTAGTAGGAAAATCAGCAAATAACAAAGGAAGCGTAACTCCAACTTGACATTATTTGTCAGTAAAACCAGTGGAGATCCCAGGTGTCCAGGGCAGGAGACTGACTGGATAGACCACTAGAGGGAGGGGCTTTGTCCTGAGGACCAGAGCCAGCCCAGAGTCCATACCTAACTGATCATGGTTGGCTGACAGAGCTGTTAGTGAGCATCTGTATCTACAGACATACAGTACAGTTTGAATAGCTGAAGAGACATTATTCCAGGAGCCACAGTGCAGGCAAAAGCCCACCCAGGCCCATAGGACCCAGGCCACAGCTATAGAAAATGATCACATGTTGATGTTCAAGGCAAGTCAGAATCAGTCTTCAAGCCATCTTATTCAAAAGGCCCTTTCTTTCAGGATGGAGCATGTGATACTATGGCAACTAAGTTATAAAAATGTTCTGGTGTAATTACATGGTCTGGGCTTTCCAGCACATCTCACAAGTAAGAAAGTGGTTTCTACAGATGTCCTTAGCCGTTTAAACTATTATTAACCACTATGCCGACTTGTGACTCTAAGAATGTTAAGATAAAGGATAAAACGCAAATCTCACACCCGAGATTTTGCCAGCTCTCCTTAGCTGGTGTCAGGGTTTGCTGGAGCAGTGTGTGGGAAAGACCAATACTCAGCAAGTTCATTTCTTCACCTTCCAGTTACCGACTCACAGTGGTCAGGTGACAAGGAAGGAGAACAGAAGGAGGGATCCAAACACCAACCGTCAGCAAAGGAGCTGTAAGAGCTCGGCACAACACATCCAAGAGCAGCTTTCATAGTCTCTCTCGGAGCAGCCTCTCAAGCTGGAGGTTTGGGAACCAGACCTCCCACCTCCAGGTGAGCAAAGGAAATACATCCTGGTACAGCTGCCAACTGTCAACAAAGACTGACATCAGGCCCATGGTAAAACCTATCTTTGTCAACCTAAAACTTAAGACCTAGGTTAAATCCATAATATAAATCCCTTCTGTCCCAAACTCCCCACTTAAAAACACTCAAGTAGTAAATCTTTGTTTCTAGGTATATTTATGCCTGTGTATGTGTGTGTGTGTGACTCGTGAATCAGCTGCAGAATGGGACTTAAAACCAAGGAGACAGGTATCAGACTCGCCTGCACAAATCATGGACACTGCTCTTTAAACAGCTCTTCCCACCTTTCCTAGAGGACCAGCGGAGCGAGGTCTCAGCAGCTTACGAAGTGCGAGGTGTACTCAGAGTCTTCCTCGTTGACCTGAGGCTGGACTCTCCCAGGAGCGGGGCTAGGGATGTCTTGGCTGTCAGGACTATGAAGCCAAAACTGAGCACCTGTGGTCATGTGTGGTGCCCTGCAGCGGCAGGTGCTCACACCACATTTCATCTGACCTTCTGTGGGCCCACCCTGGTTCTGTGGGAGCCTCCCAAGGAACCTGCCACAACGGAAGGGCCCTGCTCCTGCGTCTGCTCCTGCATCTGCTTTTCCTCCTGTGACTCAGGACCAAACCCCAACTCCCACTGCATGACAGAGAGCAATCACCTGCTTTGAGGTTGGTGCTTTGTACTTGTTTCTATTGCTGCTTGTCTAGAAACCCCACCCCAGACACTTCTGGTGATGGGAGGGAAGTGGGGCTCTCTTGTCGCTGTCCTGTGTGTATGAACAGGTAGAAAGAGTGGTAAACCCAGATGAGGGTCCTGCTTCTGGTTTATATACAATAATTTATAATCAGCTGTATATATTTAATACCTCAAAAATTAATTCACGATCAAAGTCCTTCATGCATGTGAGGAAGTTCTGGATTAACAATGGCCAGCAGATGTGCTTTGCCGGGGAAGGTGGTATGTGTCATCTTCTGCTGTCGCTCTTCAGGGCCTGTGCTTCAGACTTTCTTAAATTTTTAGTTTCTTTGTGGTCTCAAGTCTTTTTCTCAGCAGCTCCCCAATTTCCAGAAGTGAGTGCAGGTAACTGCTCTGCACCTTCCCCTGCACAGTCTTTGAAAATTTTCTTTCTTCCTATAACAGAAACAACAATGAAGTTGTCTTGCTCGAAAATCATTCGTTCACTTGATTTATAGTGACCTCACCCAGAACACCAGGTCATTTTCAGTTCACAAAATATAAGGAAGAGGAAAGCCATTTCGGGCATTGGATGACTCATATAATGTGGACATGTGACCCAGGCTGGTATGACAGGTGTGTGCCCCATGCCAAGAAACGGGAAAGATTCTTTCTGAGGAGTCAGACACAGCACCGTTACTATCTTATGTCAAGCTGGGCAAGGTATACAATCTAAGACTTCTGACTGTTTTCAGATGAAGTTGAACTGTATCACTAATTTGACATCACAGCCACTTTGAACAGCATCAACTTTACCAACTCCATTTTTAATAATCCACTATTAGAATAGTGACAGGTCCATCCCTGTCCTATCCATTGTGCCCCATCTCATCTTCCCAACTTCCCCAATGAATCCCGCTCTGTGACAGTCCACAGGTTCAAGAGACAAAAACTAACTATGGTAGGGAGTACCAAAAAGTGGGTGTGCTTGGACACAAAGAGGGCCAGGGAGTGGGGAGGGTTACAGGAGGTTGGCGGTACTGTGAAGCTTGGAGCCTCAACAAACCAGATACACACCCCTGAGGAGCAGTGCTAGGATGCCACACGCATTCAGCCTTAGAAATGGAGGTGAGTACAGGACAGTGCATACAAATGTTTGTTTTTGTTTTTTTGAGATACGGTCTCCCTATGTATCCCTGGCCATCCTTGAATTCACTGAGATCCATCCACCCGACTCTCCCTCCCAAGTGCTGGGACTAAAGGTGTGTGTTAACACACACATCTACGAATACATTTTATTCAGTAGTATGCATAAAAAGCAAATAGAGCTGTCCTTAGCCACAGGCTGTATACCCACACATTCCACCAACCACACATCAAATATTAATCTCAAGAATAAACTCAGTCTGTGCTAAACACAGTAAGACTCTGTTTTGTTTTTTAGTTTTTTGAGACAGGGTTTCTCCATGTAGCCCTGGCTGTCCTGAAACTCGTTGTGTAGACAAGAATAGCCTCAACAAGATCCACCTGCTTCTGTTCCCCACCCCACCTCCAGTGCTAGGATAAAAGGTGTGCACTGCCACTGCCTAGCAGTAAGACTTTTTAATAGTCATTAAGAACCAGTCAGTAGCCAGGCGGTGGTGGCGCACGCCTTTAATCCTAGCACTTGGAGGCAGAGGCAGGTGGATCTCTGTGAGTTTGATGACAGCCTGGTCTATAGAGCGAGTTCCAGAATAGTCAGGGCTGTTACACAGAGAAGCCCTGTCTCGGGGAAAACCAAAAACAAAAAACAAAAACAACAACAAAAAAGATCCGGTCAGTATAAAAATGATCAACAGAGCATTGACACTGTATTAGGCAGGCATCGTATGTAGCCAAGGATGCACACAGGTTCCATGCAAACACTGTGTTATTTTATAAAGGACCTAAGCTATAATGGATTCTAGTGTGTGTTCTGGAATCAACCACTTTTGGACACAGACAATACCAACCTAAAAAACGGGGGCAGCTGGGTAGTAGAGAACTCATCTCAAATATAAAGCCTTGAGTTCCGCCCTCAATACCAAAGAACCTCCCCAAGCCTATAATGTACGGTGGCTGTGATTCATTCATACATTGATACAGCAGCCAATCAAGGCTGACTTTACATGTCGGTCTGAGCAAATCTGTGAGGGAATAAGGAAAGCCCAAGTTGCAGCAAGCGGCATCTTTACTTCCTTAAACTGTGACACAATAGGACCCTACACACTCCCGCGAATACAAACACAAGGAGGAAAGAGGAAGAGGCTATCAAGTTGGGGAATAAAGACTAAAACACAGGAGATGAACTTGAAAGGAAATGGGATTGAGAGATTCCAAGACAAAATGGCTGGCGATGGCACTGCAGTTGGGAGCACTGGCTGCTCCTACAGAGGACCCGGGTTCAGTCCCCAGCACCGCCATGGTGGCTCCCAGCCACCTCTAACTCCAGTTCCAGATGATACAGAATCACTCAGACACGAGGCACACATGTGGTCCACAGATGTATGTGCAGCGGGCGAAACACCCAAACATTAAATAAAAATAAATATATTTTTAGAAGTTAAACAAACAAGCAAAAACCCCACTAAAAGATAAGGACCATTCCAGGCATGATACCAGAATGCTGGGGCAGGACATTACAAAGTGAGGCTGTGCTCTGCAAAGGGAAAACCAGACACCTGCCAGTGCCCATGCAGACTGGCCCTGGGGACTCTGGATCTGGACTAGTGAAAGCAGGCCACAGCTGGCCAATTACTGCTGTGCTCCCTCCCATAAGGCAGGTATCCTCCTCTCCATCTGGGTAGAGAAACTTCCCCAGAGTGTTGTACAGTGAGGGGCAGTGTCTAGCCTGTGATCCCTGTTTGAGGCAGGCTAAGCTACAAGAGAAAAGGGGACTCTGTATACTGACCCAGAACCACCATTCCTTATTCAGAGGCAGGAGGATCAGTGGCCCACTGTGCCACACCATGCCTTCCCACAGCTCATCTCTTACCTCTACCTGCTCAGTAAAAAAAATTGCTAATCTTCAAATTTCTCCATGAGAAATTTCATTTCAATGTGAAGGATTCTGAGATTTTGTGAGACACCCGGCCCCTTCAACAGAGTCTTAGCCCTCCCTGGCCTGGGACTCGACTCACACTTGTAGTGATCCTCCTGTTTCAGAGTCCTGAGTGCTGGGAGTACCACCTTGCCCAGCCTCCTTGAATGCTAGGTAAGTGCTCTCTACCAAATGAGCCTCATCCCCAGTCCTTGGCATTAGTTCTCTTAGGAAAGGAACAGCCACAGAAAACTGGGTTGAGGGATGGAAGAGGAAGAAAACCTATCACCCCAATGTAATGTCACAACAACGTAATTTTAAAAACCACCACCATAATAAAAAAAGCGCCATCCAAAGCACCTGTTCTGTCTTCCAAGCAGAGAATGATAAATGGAACATCAACTAGTCCTCCTGATAAAGTTTCAACATGTGCAGGAAGCATGCTGCTTGCCTAGCATCTCTTACCGGAGAGATCGAAGTGTCTTCTAACGTGAGTTCCTCAAGTTTAAGTGCAATTAGATTTGTTTCAAGTCCTTTCATATGATCCACAACATTGGAAATTAAAGTCTGAAGTCCAGTAACATAGTCTTGGAAACTGGTGAAGACTGGAGGCTGGAATGAAGAAGATAAAAAGTGTAAAAAGCTTCCTTAGCATCTCCTGTGTTTCCAGAATGAGATACGCTGACTCCCCACTGCCCGGTATCTGATGCTGTCACCACAGGGATAGACAGACACACTGGGACAGCAAGACAGTCTGGAGTGACCAACTAGCTGCCAACTCCACACTGACGGTTTAGACAGCCTTTGGATGGAAAAGACAATACCGGGGATTAACCTAGGCAGCAATATGCTTTCTTAATGAATTTGTATTTCCAACTTGCCAGCGTGAGCTGGAGAGGAACACAGAGAAAGCCTGTTAGTTGTTTAGGACTCCCGAGGACTGGAATGGGCAAGAACAGTACCAGATGGAGGGGGACAGGGGAGGGAGCTCAGTGGGTGAACAATCACACGTGCTGGACCCCCGCAAACACATCAATTCTGGCTGCAATCCTAGCACTCCGGAGGCAGAGCCAGGCAATCCCAGCAGCAGACTGGGTTTCTAGACTGGCCAAACTGGTGTGCTCTGGGTTCAAGTGAGACCCAGTATGTAAGGTGGAGGAGAGCAACCATGATGATATCTGACTCAACATCCACCTCTTGCTTACATGTGCCCATGTGTGAACTTGCAAACTCACATGCACATTGTAACACACACACACACACACACACACACACACGGAAAACCAAAGTAAAATAGTTTATTCTCCTGTGTTTTTTTACATCTGAGATTTCCAATAGTATTAATGGACGACAGAAACATAATATTTTGGTTTTTTTTTTTTTGCTTTGTTTAAATAAGATCTCGCTATGTCGCCCTATGGGTGAAAGAAGGAAGTAGCAAGAGGCAGGCATGAAGGCTCCTACCGGTAACCTTAGCACCCCTGAGGTGGAGACAGAAAGAGCATGAGTTCAAGGTTGTCGGAATTATATATGCAACTCGAAGCCAGACTCTGACTTGACAATAGGGAAAAGGAAGTACGAGAACAAAGTGTCAGTAGCATTTTAAGTGTGAAAAGGTCTCTAAACATGGAGCTAACTAGAAACCATTAAAAGACTACCATTTCCCCCCCAAAAGAACCTGTTCACTGAGCAAAAGAATCGAGGGCTGGAGAGCTGACTCATCAGTTACGATCACAGGCTGCTCTTGCAGAGCACCCAGGCTAGAGACTCCTAGCATCCATTGGTGGCTCACAACGCTAGTTAAAGGGGAGGGGATCCAATGCCCTCTTCTGGATTTATGGGGACCAGGCATTCAAGTGGTGCAGACCACTTGTATATGCAGACAAAACAACCACACACCAAAACCCAATTTATTAGAACTAATTGTGACAATAAACTGGAAAAATTGTGCCTTCTGCAATGAGGTTGACACTAACTGTTGTGAAGAAAGACCTGTGCTCTCCAGGCTCAGCACCGGACCAACTTGACACACAAACTCAACCTCCAATCATGTGGACAGTGCTGGAGGGAGGGTTTTAGGAACACACTCAGTTCACTTCAGATCTAAGTCTAGATTGTAATAGTAGCTCTGTTTATAGTCAAGATATTATAAACCAACTACATATTCACTACAAAATAAACTATAGTTTATTAATATGATGGAGAAATGACAAAAACGATGAAATAAATCTGTATTTACTGACATAAAAAAAGATGACCACCAGAGAGAGAGAGAGAGAGAGAGAGAGAGAGAGAGAGAGAGAGAGAGAGAGATGACCAAATATCCTAATCAAATACAAAAACAAAACAAATAGGCAAGTTACAGATTTTTGTTTTTAAAAAAGTCTCACATAGCCTAGGCTGGCCTCTCTCTGTGTAGCTAAGGTTAGCCTTAGATTCTTTCTTGACCTCTCTGCCTCCATCTGCTGAGTGCCAAACGGCTATTGAGTATCTTCTGGGACTGCACACGTTTATGGGGCTTACTTTATGTGGGGTTTGTTTGGGGTCTCTGTTATGCAGCTTTCCTGCCAGGAACTCTACATAAACCAAGCAAACTTCAAACTTGGTGTGATCCTCCTACCGCTGCTTTCTGAATCCTGGGATTTCAGGCATGTAGGATGCCTGTGTGTGTGTGTGTGTGTTCACGTGCGTACATGAGCTACATGTGTGAGTGCTGTGGGATGGTCTGTATGTCAAATGTATTGCTCTGATTGGTTAAAATATAAAACACTGATTGGCCAGTAGCCAGGCAGGAGGAAGTATAGGCGGGACAAGGAGGAGAAGAATTCTGGGAAGTGGAAGGCTGAGTCAGAGACACTGCCAGCCGCCATGATGACAAACAGCATGTGAAGATGCCGGTAAGCCACGAGCCATGTGGCAAGGTATAGATTTATAGAAATGGATTAATTTAAGATATAAGAACAGTTAGCAAGAAGTCTGCCACGGCCATATAGTTTGTAACCAATATAAGTCTCTGTGTTTACTTGGTTGGGTCTGAGCGGCTGTGGGATTGGCAGGTGAGAGAGATTTGTCTTGACTGGGGGCAAGGCAGGAAAACTCTAGCTACATGTGAGTGTCCGCAGAGACCAGAAAATGGTGTCTGATACCCTAAAGCGAGAGATAAAGGAGGTTGTGAGCCATCTGACATGGGTGCTGAGAACCAACTTCAGGTTCTGTGGAAGCGCAGCAAGCTTCCCTATATACTGAGCCAGCTCCCAATCCCTGTCCACTCTGTAATCACAGAAGGAAAGAAGAGCCTCTGCAGTGACAGGGAGACGCTTCCACACACACCAGTGTTTCCTGACGTAATGGACTAAGGGCAGTGCTTGTGTCTAAGCTGACTCTCCGCCTGCGTCTAAGGAAACACGAAGTCTCAATGGTGTCCCTGCCTAGACTCTACAAAAGCAGACAAAAGGACAAGGAGTAATTAAAGACCGCAACTCAAAGCTGCATCACAGGAGCAGCACAGTGACAGGGAACAGCAAGGCTGTAGTTGGGATGGACGGGTACTCTGAACTCTCGGGCCTTCGAAGACCATAACTCCGAGTGAACGAACAGAGGTTTGGTGTAAGCGCCAACTGACAAGACAGCATACATGGCCAAGGTCAGCAAGTGACGAGCTAGGCAAGGGCCTTCCTGAAGTCATTCATCTGTCCCTGATACTGTGAGGGTGTAACTGGGAAAAGAGCTCTCAGGACGCCGAGGCACGAGAGACCGTCTAGCCTTCTCCTTCCTTCTGACTCTCAGCTGCAAGACTCCATTTGACTTCACTTCTCTAAGGGGATGATCTGCATGTTCCTTGTAGTCCCAACTACTAGGGGCTGATGATCAAAAGCCAAGACAAGGCCAGGCAAGGCAGTAAGGCCCTTTCAGAAAGGCTGTGGGAGAAAAGGTGCCTCCAGAGCCCCGAAGACTCATATAGCATGCAGGCAAGGGGAAGGAAAACAGCCGTGTTATTACCATGATGATGCTGGTCTCTTTTTTCTTCTTTTTCTTTTTCTGTATATTTAATTTGTATGGTCGCAAGACACTCTCACAGTAACTAGATACCCAAAGGACGATAGAGATAGTCTGAAAGAGGAAATATACAAATTAGTCAGTATGGGTGACACTAAGGTGTCAAAACAGCAGCTAGAATGATCAAAAACACTAATGACAGTCAATGTTGGAGAGGATGTGGAGCAAAGGAAACACTCCTCCACTGTTGGTGGGAATGCAAGCTTGTATAACCACTGTGGAAATCAGTATGGCGGTTTCTCAGAAAATTAGGAATCTGCTACCTCAAAACCCAGCCATACCACTCTTGGGCATATATCCAAGGAATGCTCAATCATACCACAAAGATACATGCTCAACTATGTTCATAGCAGCACTATTAGTAATAGCCAGAACCTGGAAACAACCTAGATGCCCATCAACTGAAGAATGGATTAAGAGAATGTGGTATATATACACAATGGAGTACTACTCAGCAGAGAAAAACAATGACAGCATGAAATTTGCAGGCAAATGGATAGAACTAGAGGTAACCCAGACTCAGAAGGACAAACATGGTATGTACTCACTCATAAGTGGATACTAGATATAAAGCAAAGATCAGACTGCAACCCACAGAACCATGGAGGCTATATATATAGCATGGGGGACCCTAGGATGACTGTGGCATATAATAAGTTTTGGTTTTACTCAATTACTTAGCAAGCCTCAATGAAACATTTCACTATTAAGATAAAAGTTCATACTGTATCAAGCTGATAATAGAAAAATAAATAAATAAATTAATTAATTAAAACAAACAAACAAAAAAAAACCCAGCAGCTAGAGACACATGTGGCAGCTGGCACTTCCACAGAAGCCCACCAGAGCCCATGGCACTGGGACGAGTGAACCAGGACTGGAAACTGTAGCTGTGAGCCAGAATAAACCTTTCTTTCTCTGAAGATAGCCCTCAAGCAGCTTGTTGCTCCAACAGCCTAGCCTTCTCCTTCCTTCTGACTCTCAGCTGCAAGACTCCATTTGACTTCACTTCTCTAAGGGGATGATCTGCATGTTCCTTTGCTGCGTGGAAAGTCCACACCCCAAGGCATGGGACCCAAGGGTTCTTTACAGCCCGAACTCTCGAAACAGCACCCTGGAGCACTCGGTTACTCCTGTTTCCCAGTGTGGGGCTGCCTGAGTGCTTCGTGATCACTCAGAACTCGCTGCAGAGCTCTGAGGCTCTCACCAGTCACCAGAGCAGAGTGTACAGCCTTCAGGAGACTACAGGCCACAGGAAAAAGGGAGACATGGGTTGAAAAAAACATGTAGCCACTGGCTTCGGGAACACTCTGCAGTTAAAAATGCTGGCTGCTCTTGTAGGAGACCTGGGATCAATGCCCAGCACCCACATGGCAGCTCATAACTGCCTGTGACTTCAGTTCAGGGGATCTGATGCCCTCTGGCCTTCTGCAGGTACCTGTGCACAAGGTACACATAAACTCTTGCAGGCATATATATACATATATATATAAAACCTAAACAACAATAGTAAGAATCTGGATAAAAACAAGAGTTTGGCTGCCAGGTGTGCTGGCATGTGTCCATGACTCTAGCACCTAGGAAGCTGAGGCACAAGGATTCAGAGTCCAAGGTCAGTCTTGACTGCACAGTAACTAACACTCTGTATCTCATCATCCTCCAAACGCCTTCATAATGCAGAATGCTAGGTAACCAGTTAAAACAGCTGGAGGAATGAACTAAAGTCAAGAGCCAAAGGGAACAGGACAAAACTGATTCTAGGGAACCTTGGAGAAGAGGAAGGCCACTCAGAAGCTGTCACTAAGCCTAAGGGATGAAACCAGTTTAGAAAATAATGCAACATCGCTTCCAGGTCCCAAACAGCAGTCAGGTGAGAAAGGGTAAGCTGCTGGCGTGACGCCCTGCCTGTGCCCTCAGGAGTTCGGAGACACACCTCGACAAAGAAGACCAGGTTCTCTAGGACAGCAGGCTGTGTCTTCACATTACCATCTTTAACTTCTAAGAGTTCGCCTTTACACGTGCTGAAGATGCCTAGGGGACAGAAAGGTTTCTGCTCTTATTCTCAAGTCTCCACACCTTTAGACACATGCTGTCGAATCTGAAAACTAGTGATGTAAGAACTTATCCCAAGCGAGGCATGGTGGCCAAATCTTTAATCTTAGCACTGGGTGGCAGAGGCAGGCAGATCTCTGAGTTCAAGGCCAGCCTGGTACATGCTAAGTTCCAAGCTGCCCAGAGCTAGAAAGTGAGACCCTGCCTCAAAAAACAAAAAAATAAAAGCTACAGTGGAATGGGAGTGTAGCTCAGTGTCAGTGCTTACCTGGCCTGCTCAAGATCCACCACCACCACCTCTACCACCACCACCACCAAAAACAAGAACCCCCCCCCCCCCCCCCCCCCCCCCGCAAAAAAAAAAAAGCCAACAAATAAAAAAGACCCAATGCCTATGAAGTAAAGTCTTAACAATGATTTGTTCTGTAGTCTCCAAAATATAAAAAGTAATCTTAAAAATTATGCATGCTAGCTTCTAGCCTTCAGCTAAGAGACGTGGGTATGGGTTCTCATAATGTGAAGAAGACTCAATGAGTGGTTTGGAAGAGCAGTGCCGTCCTGACCTGAAAGACTAAGGCCACTGTAGGAGAGCAACTACATGGGGCTGGAGAGATGGCTTGACTAATAAAGTGCTTGGATCACCAACAACCGTATGACAGTGAGGCACAGTAGCACATATACAAGGGAGAGTCCCTGGGTGATCACTGGCAGCCAGTCTAGCCAAATCCATGAGCTCCAGGTTCAGTGAATGGCCTTGCTCAGAGAGGAGGTAGAGCGTGGTAAGACAAACGACACTCAACTTCAACCTGTGGCCTCTGAACACCCATGACATCCCACCCTCCCCAAAACACACCCACACACAGACTCACTCACTCTCACATACAAGAGTCAGCCACGGCAACTTAACTCAACGTTGTTAAGAGTCTGGCCAACTGGGCCTAGATAAGACCATATCCACTTGTATCCCAACTCAGAACAGTTTTCAAGTTCTTCTGCAGTAAATTTATCTTTAAGGCATGATGCTGTTGCATGCCTGTAATCCCAGCATTCAGGAGTGTAAAGCAAGAGGATCACAAGCCAAAACCATCCTGGGCTGCACATCGAGTGTGAGGCAAGCCTGGAATATACATGATGACCATCTCAAAAACACAAAACCCTCCAGGCGGTGGTGGTGCACACCTTTAATCCCAGCAGAGGCAGGAGGATCTCTGTGAGTTTGAGGCTAGCCTAGTCTACAGAGCGAGTTCCAGGATAGCCAGGGTTGTTACACAGAGAAACTCTGACCCGAAAAACAAAACAAAAAATATGCTTGTTACTTCCAAATCCTTCCATATATTTATACATTTTTAAACACTGAGCTACTGTCAGACACACAGGCAGAATCAGGAATCTGCAGTCACAACTTACCTTTCAATAATTCTAGTAAAGATGCAAGACTATTTTCTACTCGTTCCTGTATATCCACTGTACCCTCTAAAATGGAAAAACAATCCATCAACATTCATTTTTTTACAAAGATAAGAAGCAAAGTGGGCATGACTGCACAGAGTTGTGATCTCAGCACTCACGACACTGAGGCAGCAGGACTGAGCTCACGGCCAGCCCACAAGATATGCTGAAAACGCCAGTGGGCTGGGAGAGGCATCAAGCCACTGGACATGCATTTGATCCCTGGGACCCACATCCAGGGGAATACTGACTCCTATAAGTTGTCCGGTACCTTTCCATGAACACTGTGCCACATACATACATGCACACTCACACAACACACACACAAATAAATAAATAAAACTGTAACAGCAGGTCTGGAGAGATATCTCAGGGACTAAGAGTATGTACTGGTCCTGCAGAGAATAATCTGAGTTCAGTTCCCGGCACATATTTCAGGATGCTCTCAGCAGCCTGTAACTCCAACCCCAGGGGAGCTGATCATTCTGGTTTCTACTGGCACCTGCCCTCATGTGCACACCCGACACACACAATTAAAAGTTGGGGCTGCAGAGATGACTCAGTAGTCAAGAGCACTGGCTGAAGAACCAGGTTCAATTCCTAGCACGCACATTGTGACTCACTTTAGTTCCGAGGGGATCTGACACCCCATCCCCATCACATACACACACTTCTAGCGTCTCAGGGCACCAGGCACGTACACAATACACAGAAATTCACACAGACAAAATACTCATACATATGAAATAATAATAAAAAAAATTTAAATATTAAGAATTCTAAAAAGCAACAGTAAATGCAATATCAACAATCAAGTCATGGCAGGGGCTTTTTCCTCCTAAGACCCCAAGGCATTTACACCCCGCTACTGAAAAACAGACACATTAAAATAAAAGGCAGAACTGCGAAGCGAAGGAGGGCAATGATTGCTCTTCTGTCCAAGGACTGGCTCAGGCTCTCTAGCAGGACTTGCCAGCTGGGTCCCAAGCACAGCAGATCTATCAGCTCTAAGGAGGCCCGGGGGTGGGGCTCAGCCTAGGGGTATTTTTGACTCCCCATAAGTTTAGGATTTCAGTAACATTTCAGTATTTACTCACTTACTAAATTTCTAATGATAAAAGTCCAATGAACGCATGCCTGTGCACACTTACCCAAGCCACTGGTATAAACGCATGCCTGTGCACACTTACCCAAGCCACTGGTATCGAGCTCATACACATCACTGACAAGATGGAAGGAGTGGACCTGGCAGTGACAGCAGCCAGAACTGAAGAACCTGCCCATCCTTGTGGGGACGGGTCCAAGGAAGGGATACTGGAAAAAGAGGGAAACCACCTTCTTACTCCACACAACGTCCAACAACAGGGCTTGTAACTACTCATAAGAAAACTAATACCCGACACCCACAGCTAACAAAGGGCCCTATGTATGAGCAGAGCACGGTGGTGCGTGCCTGTGGTTCCAGCACTGAGGCAGGAAAACTTGAAATTCAAGGCCATCAAGAACTATACACCAAGACCCCATCTCAAAAAAAAAAAAAAAAAAGGGGGGGGGGGAATAAAACAACCTCAAAAACTATTTTGCTTTTCCTGACAAAGAGTCTAGACAGAGCAAAACCCTAAACTGGCTCAGGACCATCAAACCCCTTTCTCACAGTGCCGCAAATGGGACCCGCTCTTCACTGTGCAAAGACAATTGTCCGTCTAATTATTTCTTGGTACCTGAATTTCCTTCTCAATAAATCGCTTCCCCGCCTCCACGGCCACTTCTAGCTGTTGAAGGAGCAAACGAAGAATGTCAATCCGGGAGGACACACCATTCTCCGAGGTCTTCTCTGAGTTCTTTGGCTCCACAGGGTGGGTGAGACTCGGAAGTCCACTGATCAGCCTCAACGTTAAGGTGCGAATTCTTAACCACATGGTCTCCTCCTCCAAGGAGAGTTTCTTATGCTCTTCAGAAACATTCCTTAAACAAAAACATCCCCAAACCGTCCATTTTACTCAGCCTGTTGCCTTCAAAGCTTTGAGCATTTGCTTTCACCCGTCAAGAAACCTCAGGATAGTTTCTGCCTCGGGTCAAACATCTGATTGCTGCCTGCTTCGCAAGGTAAGCTGGGCACAGCAGCCTTCCCGACAGGCTACCTCCCCACTCCAAGTATTTGTTCTGATGATTAAAACACAAATGACACAAAAAAGCTGAAATGCCATGCTGGGGGTGTCTTTCTGTAGGCTGTGGGTATGTGTTGCTCCCACCGGCTAATGAATAAAGCTGTTTGGCAGCTTAGAGGCAGGTGGGAAATCCAAGCAGAGATGCGGAGAGAAAAAAGGAGAATAGAAAGAGATGCCAGCCGCCCAAAGGAGCAGCAAGATGCCAGCAGACCAGTAACGCCATGGCCACGTAGCAAAACACAGAATAATAGAAATGGGTTAAGATGAAAGAGCTAGCCAGCAAGAAGCCTGCCATAGGTCATAGTTTGTAAATACTATTAAGCTTCTGAATGATTATTTTGTAAGTGGGCAGGACCACTACAATGCCAGATAAACAAGGTAGGTAGTAAAGAATCCAGTTACCCACACACTCAAGAGTCCACAAACTCACACAGACCCCTTCAGACTTCTCTATACAAAAGCATATAAATATATAAACTGTACTGGGGCTCAGTTCTCTAGCACAGAACATCCTTACCAATTGCAAGGCCCAGGGTTGAATTCCAAGTAGCACCAATATATATATAAATATGCAAATATATATTATACATATATTTGGTACATATTTTAAATATGTTAGGCAGGGTCTCACTATATAGATCCACCTGCTTGTCTTCTAAGTGCTGGGATTAAGGCATGGATGGCCACCCTGGCAGATTTATATTACTCTTGTGCTGCATTTATTTAATGATAGAGCATGCAGCAGCAGGACCTAGTTGGAAGGTTAGCCTTCAGCTGATACCTGGCAGCTTGTACTCCAATCATCACTTAACAAGAGCAGCTCCTGTGGCCAGACTATGATAACACACCATTAGTGTACGGTGAACATCTTTTCTGCTAGAAGCCTGGAACCTTGGTGCATGCTGAACAGACAGAGTATGGTGTAACCAGCTGCTACAAACCTTGGACCCCGAGCATCTGGCTGCCTTTAGCAGAAACAGCACAACCTGTGTGCTATCACCCTTTCTCTCCTAGAGGCTGCCTCCCCAGGCTCACTGCCTATCCTGCCATGTAGCCTGTGTTGGCATGAGTCCTCGTGGTGCAGTACAGCAACCACACAGACTCCCAAGTCTTTCTGCCAGTCGACACAGTGTAGTTTTGGTGACCCACAAAGCAGTGTGTTCAAAGCCCTCTCACACTGGTCTTGCATGCTTGTGCACTAGCTCCCTAGTGCAGACATCTTAAAGTAATTATGTTACACTTTAAATACTGAAGTAGATTACCAATTCCCCACAGAAAGGCTATAAGTTTTACAAGTCATTTAAAGAGAAGACAATAATCATGTTCCCACACAACCTTGCTGACCACAGCTGTTCATACCTCTGCTAGAAAACAAGTCTTGGGTGTAGTGAGAGCCTCAACTAAAGCAGTTCCTAGTTACTGTTTTTATTCACTATGAGCTCTTTATAAAGGATGTCACTACAAATTAAGTGCATTTAATGTTTTTTTTTTTTAAATGAGTTAGGATCTCATACAGCCCAAGTTGGCCCAAACTTGCTATATAGTAAAAGATGACCTTGAACTTCTGAATCTTCCACACCTCTGCCTCTCAAGAGCTAGGATCCAGCAGTGTGCCACCACATCAAGCTCTAATGGACTTTTGTGGGTTCAACTCCTCACAGTCCTTCCTTTACAACACCCTTTAATTTCCAAGTTTGTATTGGAGGGCAGTGCTTTCCCTGTACCTCTCCCTCCCTTTACACCGTATCTCCTTGGCTTGTCACCCTTTGAGCTGCCGTGCTCATTTTTATGTCCCAGCTCCAATTCCTGGGCCCAATGTGGTAGGCACTCCACCCATTAAGTGTCTGTGGAACTGAAAGCATTGTCTGTGGCCTCTGTCAGTATTTACCCTTTTTAAATGACACTTCTTTACTTACTCTGTGCATGTGGATATATGGGGTACACACCTGGAGGCCATAGGATGAGTCTCTTCTCCACCAGAAAGGTCCCAAAAATTGAACTCAGGTTGGTAGCAAGCCCTTTTACCCCTTGCCCTATCTTGCTGGCCTCTCAGACCCCTTTGAAGACAGGCGTATCCACTATCAGTCTGAAGCATGCTGGAGTGCATGGGGTAAAGACAGGCAAAGGCAACTCTTCTGGTGGCTGAGAAGTTGCTTTTCAAAGAATCACAGGAAGGTCTCAGGTTTATTTTATCATCTCACTGACCTAGGACTTCCTGTAGCCTAGGCCTTGAACATGCTGTAGTGGGGATGACCCTGAACTCCTGGTTTACCTGCATCTAACCTCTTAAGTGCTCGGATCACAGGTGTGCACCAGTAAGCCAGGCTTTCAGAAAGCTTTTCAACCAAGCTGTTGATTATTCAGCAGATGAACTGCACCCAGAGAGGTGAATTGTCTAGGTCACAATCAGTCACAAAAGGAGCACAGTTCTCCTTCCACTGCTCTGGAATTTTCTCCGCTCCCAAAAGCACAGGACATCTGACCTCTTAATAGGGGTGTGCCCAGAGATGCTGAGAAGCCAGCTGAGGGGACCATCAGGACACGAAGCTTGGCAGGGTGGAGTTAGGGGACAGGGAAGGTGGCAGTGCACAGACACTGGGGCACACTCACTGATCATTCTCTGGGACCCTCCCTTCTCCCATTCACCATCACTAGTAAGAAACTCGGGCGCCCGAGGACACACCAGAAGTTTGTATCTTCACCTCAGTAGTCACAAGTCCAGAGTAAGCTGTCAGCTCGAAAATGTACATGGAAAATAGGCCAAGCAGAAGCCTGGCTCAACTCCATGTCGCCGAGTGGGTAGAGGGCAGCACATGGCTCGTCCTTGGGTTTTTGGTGGCTTAGAGGACTCAATTAAGTATTTTTAACTTTTTGTTTTCCTGAAACAAGATCACACTGTGTAGCCCTGGCTGTCCTGGAACTCTGACATGTAGACCACACTGGTCTCAAAGAGTCTTGCCTGCCTCTGCCTCCATGTGTGAACAACTATACCTGGCTAATAAATACGGATACAATTACAACCTTTGTATTGCTAAAAACAGTAATAATTAAGTACTTTGGTATATATACACCACATACATGCACACATGCACACACACACACACACGCACACACCTGTCAATTTGCCATAACCTTTTAGAACCTAATAGAGATTATAAGCCTCTATGTGGTGCTAGGATAATCCAACATCATGTAAAAATGTTTTCTACCTTCCTCTTAGATGCCTAGGGAACCGAACTCTGTACCTCGAATCACTAGGAGCTCCCACACAGCATGGACAGGTCTAACCTCAGCAGGCCCAGCACTGGGGTGGGATGTGCTGTGCACCTATGTCCCCGATTCCAACAATGACCATGTGTATTTGTGTAAAGATCCATGCTGACTCTGCAGAGTTGAGCTCCTCTTACCTGTCCTTTGGATCCCAGCTAAAGAAAACATCCAAGTCTCTGTTGTCTCTCAAATCTTCCCATGGAACGTCATCTTCCTCTGGCCTCAGATTCATTGATTTGATACTTTCTGCCAAGCTAGTTGATCTGTAATACAGAAGGTTTGCTTTGACTGTCTCTGTGCTTGTGTGCACGCATGAGCTGCACATGCAAGACTGTGTGACTGAGGATGCCCGGGGAGGCCAGAGGTCTACATTAGGCGTCTTGCTTTTTCTCTCGCTACCTTGACTGTGAAGATAGGCATCTCACCACTTGGCTGGGCAGGCGACTGAGCCCCAAGGATTCTCCTGCCAGCACTGGGTCTCCTATCACGGCAACAGACATGCATGGGCAGGCCCATGTTTACTTGGTGTTGGGGATCAGAACTCAGGTCCTCCCAGGCACACAACAAGCACCGTACCTCCTGAGCCACCTTCCCAGCCCTAAGGTCTTATTGCTGTAACAACACAGTCATGAAAACCATTAGCCAGGACTTTCTTTTACTGGGAAGAGGTCAAACAGACCTGAGACAAGTTATGACAGCAAGAAAAAGCCTTTTGGAGGTTAAGGGAATACAGTGGGCGAGCGCCTGCTCTGCTCCTAACGCCTGTCCAGGGGAGGGGCCTCGAAAGCACTACAGGGAGGGGTGGCAGTGCCCGGGCACGCGGCTCTCCTGGGCTCTCCTGGATCGAAGACACAGCCGCAGCCTCCAGCACTCTCCGTGACAGGGCCTGTGTCTCCCTGCTCGCAGCTTCTCTTACCTTCCCATCCTCCATTTTTCCCTTAACTCCGCTACTGACAGCCGTGAACACCTCACCTGGCCCCTCGTCACATACTCACATGTTCGCTTCAAGTAGAAGGTCTAACAGCATCCGTTCAGTGCGCACTTGTGCGAAGTGGAGCGAATTATTCAGCCTGTTCCTAAAAGCGATAAACTCTGGGATCTTCTCGAATGCACCGTATTTGTAAGCTTGAATAATGTATTCGGAGGTCTGAGAAGGAAAGACACCACCTTGGTATAAATACTCCACAGGTCAGGCAATGGAAGCAAAGCTTGAAAACCAACTCAATATTCAAACTGCTACCAAGGCTCTGGTCCAGTCTCTGAAGGTCTGGGCTACACAGTGTAGTTCCAGCCATGAATAACATTACTTTTCTCTCCTCCTGCCACTGAGTCAAATGTCTCCTCTACTACACTGCTGGCTCTGAGGCGGCTACTGCCATCTCCAGTCCTGTCTCAGCACTCATGTCTTTCACGACAATAGGACTTGGAGAATATTCTATCACATCAGCCAAAAAATTGACAAATGCCATTCTGGAATGGATCTTACGCAGTATCTTCCCAATTCTAAGACAAACCATGCTCTGGACAAAGATTTCAAAGATGTCATAACTGCACAATCATACCCCACAGACTCTTAAATGAAACCCTCTCCTTCAGAAAGAGACTGCTCCTTGGTTGGCTCTTCCTGAGTCCGGTACCAGACACAAGGCAGATGAGCTTCTCAGCAGGACAGAAGACACCAACAACAAGACCCATCAACAGGACACCATCTGCTCTGAGGAAGATGTCAAGAACCAAGTTTCCTGAGCACACAAACCCTAGAAATTAACCTAGACAACTAAGGGAAGGGAACGCTCACACGTGTATTTTAATTACAGATTAAAATAATCAGATGAAATGCTGCAGAGCAGAGGCAAGACAGAGAACTCTTCATGAAGTACTGGTACAACAGAAGCAAATCTCAGGGAAGAACGTCTCACAGAGTGGGCTGAAGCCACCAGGATCAGAAGACAGATCACCCCTGTGGGCCAAGGAAGTGTTTAGCTCAATGCTGAGGTCTGCCCCAAAGACACTTCTTAGAAAAGCCAGTCTTTCGCCTAGCCTTAGTCTGCTCGCTCTGCCCCCATTTCCACTATGCCTGAATAATTTGCCCAGTAGGAAAATAGGCCAATAGTCAACAACATACCCTCTGATACACAGCCTCGCAGGGTTCATTTCAGGCCATGGGGTTGCGCCACGGGCGCTAAGTCAACTGCATTCGATGCGGCTTTTAAACCCCCAGGGGACACCTCGGCCAGCTGTTTGCCTGCAGTATCTGGAGAGATTAAAGACGGACGGACACAAGAAAATTAAAAAGATTATGTGTGATCCTGTGGGTTTAGGACTACCTGCCAGCTTGACTGAGGACATGGGCATGCCCCATCAAGAGGCCCACACTTATCGCATCCTTCTCTCGTACAGTTCCCAACTTAGAAGACGCAGCAGGGTTGGCTGCTGACCCTTGCAATGGGAACTTCCAGCTTAAAAACACCTGTAACTAGCCAGGATGGAAACAGGACTTGGGTGGTTCTAGACAGAATGCAGTTCCAACATGAGCCCCACACAGCCGTCCCTCAGTGGGAGCCTCAGAGTCTGAGTGGCCCATGGAACTTCACTTGTGAAAAAAGACAACAGCTTTTCAAGAAAAACAAGGGGCAACCAGGAGATAAATATAGTCTGTAACATGCCAGGAGTGTCTGCAGTTTTCTGTCCATCTGCCTGAGATAGTCCTCCTTAAATGCCACAGTAAAGTGGCTCTGCAGAGCTAGCCAAGGGCCCAGGGAGCAGTAGCAGGAGGTTGAGAACATCACTGCTGAGGCCTTGTATCTCGGGGAACACAGCCGAACCAGAAGGCAAAGGCACACTAAAGACTACTGACCAGAGTGTGCATCCACACCTACCCCCACTTATTTGTGCACCAATGAAGCTCGCCAGAAGGCCCCCTGAAATGAACCCGGGTCGCTGTGAAAATTAGCAAAATACATGGGTATCTGACCTTAAATAATGACCTTTATGAATACCTAAAACAGAGACTTCAAGGAAAGCTTCAAGAAGATTTTTACTATTTTTATTTCTGTGATGTGTGTTTGGGCATATCCCCTGGACCTGGAGTTACAAATGCTCGTCATCTGTCTGATGTAGACTCAGGTCCTCTAAAGCCCAGCAAGCTCTTTACACTGTGCCATGTCCCTGTCACCAGAGCGAGCTTTGAAAACCATGAACATGAAGTGGCTTTTGGCGATGAGGAAACCTGGCACTGATTCCTGAGTAAGATGACAGCAGACGGACATCCAGAGACAACTTTCTCCCCACAGCACAAAGCCCTCTGAACAACAGCAGGTTTGCTCTGGAAGAAGTGCTACGGTGAGGCTCTAATTAGAAGGAGACACATCAGTCGCCCAAGGGAAAAAGCACTTGGGAAATCCCCAAACCAAAGAACGAACGCTGCAGAACATGGTGTTTGGGCTTTGCAGAGCATTCCACCAGGTGCAGGGCTCCACTCCCTTACTGGGGACACAGGCACCGCTGCTGCGGTCCTTACAGATGGGCTACTTCAGACCGGTTAAAGTCGCACCAGTATAAACTCAAGGAGGGGACTGTTACTGCCCAATCAATCAAATGCTAATTTATCACGCTCAACATCATGTTCACTGTATCAGTGATTCACAATCAACTATTAGCAAAACCCTGACCACTCCGCGGGCAGGCAGGAAGACAGAGAGGGAGCTTGCAGCCAGCCTCATCTACACTGCAAGGCCCTGTCTCAAGTTTTCAAAGTCTTCAGTAAATGAAATGTCTTTAACCTCTTCCTTATAAATACGAAAGAAGAGGTAAAATAATGAGACCTGAGGAGGAGGTCGATCACAGATTCTCGAATGCACTGTGTAGCTATAGATTTATCACTCAACTGCTATTTACACTGCAAGTTTAACCCAGTGCCTGAGACAAGGCTTCTGCCTCTATGCCAAGCCAGCACTTGGAAGCAACAGGCTTAGATGTGGATACCCTCTTCTCTCTCATCAGGCAGAAAGTCTCCACAGACACCAGTCCTCCAGGACAGCAGACAGACAGTTGATGGTGTGGGCAAAGACAGAGGGGTTAACCTTCTCCGGGATCGGAGATCTGCTACTGCACACTCCAGCTCAGAACATACAATGCTCAGAAGTGCCTCAGCCCTGCTTCTCTATTCTCCAAAACACCTCTTAAGAAACAAGTAGAAGACATGCATGACTTCAAAGCAAAGGCCTCAAGAATATTTGCCAAGATGAATCTCAGATGGCGACTTCCTCACCAAGCTCCATGATGTTGAGAGACCAGGAAAATGGAAAGGCTGGGCCTGGCACGGTCAGACTCCAGGAAGTGAGGCTTAGCCACACACGGGAAGAACAGCAGCAGCGTCCACTCTAACGACACACCCGCTTTCTACACTAGCTCCCGGACAGATCTGCAAGCCCATCAACTGAGAGCATCCGGACGCCCTGAGAACTTCTTTAAGCCAATGGGCCCGAGTGAACAGAGAGAAGACTGCACGCAGGCCCACCCTCGTCTCTCCCAGGGCAGCTCCAACTCACACTGCCCCTTAAATGCCGTGGGGGCGGCTGCTGGCACAAACCCGACAGCCTCTTGCTTCCAACCTTGAGAAGTCTCTGAACAGCATGTGAACACAGAGATGGGAGACAAAAGACTTCTTAGTCTGTTAATGCCCAGTTGGAAATGTCAATTTCCAAGGATTCAATTATAGACCTACATATTGAACAAATGCAAATACCTCTCTACCTAGTGATCTAGGATGATTAAACTCAGCCTAAGGGTACATGCCAGCACCAGAGCAAGGTGCCCCGTGACCTGCACTCTGAACCATGTCAGCCAGCAGCAAACCACAGCACCAGTGGGTTTCACTTACATCTTTCTGGTTGGAGTGGAAAAACCTGAGTGCGAAGTTACAGGACTGGGAGGCAGCAGCATACTGACCCAGGGATGCAGCGTATCGGGTCAGAAGATAGCTAGGTAGGAAAGAGAAAAAACACGTTATAGTTATTCCATCCTACTGTCAAATACTAGGCACCAAGAAAGAGCAGGGCATACAAGAAAACAAAACAAAACAAAACAAAAACCCAGAAACACTACCCTTGGAATGATCTAATTCACAGGATCAAATGAAAAGAAAATGAAGAGTTCTTCCTTTACACCCGACAATAACAGGAACATAAAAGCTGGTCAGAGAACACAATGTTCTCTTCCTAAATGCGAATAGAAAAATGCCTGTAAGTAATCGCACAGCATAGCCAAAACTCAACTCAAAGGGAGACTTTGGGTCGGCGGCAACAGCCAGGGAGAAATAGTGTGCAAAAGAAAAAGTCCAAAATACACAGCTGGCTGCCAGGAGGACTGCCACCCAGTGAAAGAGGGCATGCAGCCTTAGCATGATTGAAGCTGGAAACTCTGTAATGCCTGGAGATACAAGCCAGCCCCTCGTGCTTTGCAGTGGGTCACAGTGGTGACTGGTGTCTGGAGCCCTGTTCTGCTATCATCTACAAGTGAGCTTCCTAGGCTGTCTGCGCAGTATTCAGAGTATATACTACCAACCCAATGGTGTCGTGCTGGATATGCTTAGCATCAAGGCTGGAGTAAAGATCCACCACTGGCTCAAATGCACCCAGCATGCAGTAGATTCGAACAAGCAGCAGTTTGAACTGAGCATTGGATGGGCTGTGGGTTAAGCCCTCTTCCAGCAGAGTCAGGGCCTGCCACACAGCACTCTCCTCACCTAGAATCAAAACACATCGTTATCCACTCATCTTTAAGGAACCTCTCGAAATCATCACCTGCCTTGACTAGTCTCTGAATGAGTTTGGATACATACAAATTTTAGATATAGACCTGAAATCAAAACAGGGAATTCCCCTGAATACAAAGTCCTTCAAAAGTTATATCAGTGCTTAAATACAGGTGGGCAAAAAGCATGATGTCTAGATCTAGGGAGGGAAATCATGGAACCTCAGAGACTCTCAGATTTTGAGAAAAGAGGGACTCCCCCTCCAGCCCCTGCTCCCCACCCCCAATGTCTCCACAAGACTCGACAGGACGTCATTTTTATTCCATATGTAATCCTACAAAAAACATTACATTTGATACTTTAAAAAAAAAAAGAAAAGAAAAAGAAAACTGCTGTCAGGACCAGAGATGGCTCAGTGGACAAAGCGCTGCCGAAGCTGACTGTTGAGATCAGTCCCTGGGTCCACAGGGCAGGAAGAAGAGAACTGACTCTGACACGTGACCCGTGGAACAGTTGTGTCCACATGTCACACAGAGACCCACGAAATGTTATTTAAAAAAAGAAGACGACACTGATGTGGTAGTGCATGCCTTTACTCCTCACACTGGGAGGCAGAGGCAGATGATCTGAGTTCTAGGGCCAGACTGGTCTATATGGAGTTCCAGGCCAAGTAGGACTACAAAGTGATACCCTGTCTCAAAAAAGAAAGAGAGAGAGAGAAAATCTTTTGTGGTGTGTGTGGTTTTCAGACAGGATTTCTCGGTGTTGCCCTGCCTGTCCTGGAATTGACTTTGTAGACCAGGCTGGCCTCGAACTTGGAGATCCACTTGCCTCTGCCTCCCAAATACTGGGATTAAAGGCGTGCTGCACCGCCGCCACCACTACCACCATCCGGAAGGAAAATCACTTTTTAAACATTAGTAAATAAAAAGGGCGTTTCTGTTCTGTGGGTTTGCCCATCTGCCTTTGAATCAGTGTGGTTGTATTGTAACTCTAGCTTGGTCTCCCACTGACTGTTCATTATGCAGATCCATTTAGAAACTAATGAGATAGCTGCTGAGTTGGGTCCAAGGCTCAGTGGTGGAGTTTCCTCAGTGTGGCCGGCCTCCATCTCTAGCAAACCCCCGTGGAGCTGACATCGGGGTCCTACCTGTTTCTCTCCATATATCAGTGAGCACATGGACAGCGAGGAGGCAGTAATAGTCAGAAAACTGCAACTCTGTCTTCAAACAAGAGCGCCCTAGGGGAAAATCACACCTATTTTTAATAGTTATTCATCAAGTGCTGTGACAGGAGGCTTTTGTTTGTTTACTTTTTAAGGAAGGAAAATGACAGGCAGAAAGTGAGGAAAAGAAAAAGAAAACAGGAATAGGATAAGTGAGCCGGGCGGCAGTGATGGCGCACGCCTTTAGTCCCAGCACTCGGGAAACAGAGGCAGGCGGATCTCTGTGAGTTCGAGGCCAGCCTGGGCTACAGAGTGAGATCCAGGACAGCCAGGGCTACACAGAGAAACCCTGTCTGAAAACAGACAGACAGACAGACAAGAACAGGACTGTACTGAAGACGTAACACAGACATAAGCACGGGCTCGGCCTGTGTGAGCACCTGGCTTCCATGGCTGGCACCACAAGAAAGGATGGATGGACAGAGGAAGAAGGTGGGAAGAATACCAACCCAAACGCTTACAAGAAGCCACACTCAGCTGGAACAGCACATTCCAGGGGAGAAGGTGCATGTACCAGTCTTTACAAAGGGAAAGATCCAGAGAAGTCTGAGGTGAAGACAAGAACCAGGGCCTGAACTTAACTAACTTCCCATCGGGCTCCCCTACCAAACGGTTCTTAATGCACAGCAGTGCTCCAGTGACAGCAGTCAGACGAGCCCTGCTTCTGCACTGAACGTCACCTCACAGTGCACACTACACTCTAAACTCTTTCCTGCAGTCTTGTGAGGACGTAAGGCCACAGCTCCCAAGTTCAAAAATCCTCAAGTCAGGCGACTTGTTTAAGAGCCCTGGAACATTCCGGTTGCTCAGGAGGAGCAGACACCAGACAACACCAGTTAGCCTAACTAGGCTTCTGAGAATTACCCAGATTGGGGGAGCACTAGAGCAGTGCGCTCTGGGTACTCTCCATACGGACTTATGAGTCTTAGCAGAACTGGGGGACTCACATCTGAACAGCTACTCACCAAACTCCAGTCCGTGCTGGTACCTTAACATCAGCTCTCTGACCACATCCAGCTTCTGGTTCTTATCCATGATGTGGTACAAGCCAAGGAGCCTCGTCAGCTGCACGACACACAGATGCTGCTGCAGGGCACGGATGTCAGCGGGCAGGGCCAGCTTGTCCTCTGTTGGTGTTGACAACGGAACCACTCCAAGAAGCTGATTAATAAACTGCAGAGGAAGAAGAAGGCCACACAATGCACATGTGTTTAGGACACCTGAGATGCTCTACAGGAGGGCTCCTGTATCGGCCATCTCTTCTGACCCACAGCTATTGGCCAATCTCTAGCTCACACACACCAGGGGTGCTGCTGCACGCCCAGAAGTTCAAGATCATCCCTGACTATGCAAACTGAACCCCAAGAGACCCTCCCTGCCCCCTTTTCTTTTATTTCATGTGTATGGGTGTTTTGCCTGCATATGCCTGGGCACTACATCGAGTGTAGTATTCATGGAAGCCAGAAGAGGTCACCAGATCCCTGTACAGATAATTGTGAACTACCATGTGGGTGCTAGGAATTGAACCTGGGTTTCTGCAAGAGCAGTCAGTGCCCTTAATCACTGCCATCTCTCCAGTCCCCAAAGACTTTATCTTTAACAATTATGTTTTTTTTTTTCTTGGTTTTTCGAGACAGGATTTCTCTGGGTAGCCCTGGCTGTCCTGGAACTTGCTTTGTAGACCAGGCTGGCCTTGAAATCAGAGATCTGCCTGCCTCTGTCACCTGAGTGCTACGCCTTGCTGTTTAATTTTTAAAAAGCTGTAGCAAAATTATGAAGTAAAATAGGACCATTAGACTCACTGGACCAGCTTCAGGCTTTCACGAGCTGTGCTCCTGAGTAAAGAAACTTTACTGTGTGGGGTCCCGGATGTGAGAGACTGTCAAACAAATCAAAAGAATGTGGACTCACAGCAACCTTGAGCAGTCTCAGAACATCCCTCTGGAGCAGCCCCACACTGCTGCTTCCTGCAGGGGGTCAGCACTGTTGGACATGATGCTCTGCCCCACAGAAGTCAGCACTGACCCTCTCACAAGCACTCAAGTGATCGGGTCCACGTGGTCACCTGGATTCTACTGAGATGCCCTCCAGCAACAAAACTCGAGGATTCTGACTACTACCTTTTTCTCACTGAGCCAAAAATCTGAATTCCTTGTAAAAAAAACTTCTCTTCCCTCCTTCCCGCTATCTTCTACAAGACAGCTGTTCGGATCTGCTGTTCCCAGACCAAACTTCTTTGCCACTCAACTATTTTTCTCTCCTAACTTTCAAACTTTCTCTCCTACAACCCAGATTCTTCCTTCCTGTATGTTACAATTCTCCGAGAAGCTGTAGGCCTGAGCCTGTACACAAACACTCCCCCAACAGCTCCTCTCAGACATCAAGAACCCAGTTGAGACAACTTAGTCAGGGAGCTGGGATTAAAGGCTCGCACCACACGTGTGCCTTAGAGGGGTCAGCAAAGTCTGCCGAAGTCCGAAGTCCTGACGGAGGGAGGCCAGTCATTCCACTCTGCTCAGCCCACTTCATTCACTCCGCACGGGCACAGAGGCCACATGGCAAGGCTTCCAGCCATCCAGCTTTGCCACAGGGTTACTAGTACACCAGTGGATGGTAGACACTGGTTTACTCACGCCTTTAACTCTGCCCATGGTGCTCTATCCTACCTCAGGCACACTGCTCCCCAGTGGATGAAGGACTACAACTGCCTATGACCAAGGACAGCCCTGGAGCATGCACTAAATACTTTTGAGTATGAAACAGCCTAGGGCAGTAGTTCTCAACCTATGGGTCGCAACCCCTTTGCAGGTCACATATCAGATATATACTTGACAATTCAGAACAGTAGTAAAGTTACAGTCATGAAGTAGCAACAAAAATAACTTGATGGTTGGGGTCACCACAACATGAGTATTAAAGGGTCATAGTGTCAGGAAGGTTGAGAACCACTGCTCTAGGGGCTCCTATGTACGGCTCTCCAGTGTGTGTGCCCAAGTAGCTTGACTTCAGAGTGCTCAGCCTCTAGATGAGAAGTCAGTGGGTGTAATGCCTCACACCTGATCCCAATGTTTGAAGGTGGAGGAAGGAGAACCCTGGCCATGTGATCCATCTCAGAAAAATGAAGAAGCTCCTGTCAACAGGAGGAATGTCTAAGTGTGGTTCTCCACGGGTGCTAGAGCTGGTTTACAGGCCGTGCCAGCACCAGCACTGTGGCTGCAGGGCAGTTACTGTACCACCCCCTCCTGCACTAGCACGCAAGCACAGACACCTCGGACACTAGGAACTCTGAGGGACACGTACTTGTGTGCACTGGGCGGCAGGCAGGAGGTCAACAAACACCTTCAGGTCTGTGAAGCAACACGGCTTATCCCCGAACTTCTTGAAATACTGGAACATTAACTCTTCTGGGTCACCTTGAAGAGGAAGACATGACATTATTACTCACAGACTGCAGCAATCGTTAGAGTGACACCTCTAATCTGAAAGCCTCTCTTTCATTTAAATTAACTCTGCCTGAAACCACTCATGGTGGCTCACACCTCTAAGATCAGCACTCCGTTGTCTCAAAAATAAAATAATGAAATAAACAGTACAATAAAGGAAAAAAAAGTTAAGAGTTAGGTATGGTGTTGCTGGGCACTGGTGGTGCACTCCTTTAATTCCAGCACTTGGGAGGCAGAGGCAGGCAGATCTCTGTGAGTTCGAGGCCAGCCTGGTCTACAGATCAAGTTCCAGGACAGCCAGGGCTACACAGAAAACCCTGTCCAAAAAAAAACCAAGAATCTGGTATGGTGGTCACACCTGTAACCACAGCGTTTGGGAGCCTGAGGAAGGAGGGTCAGTTTAAGGTTTCCTCAATTACATGGCAAGCTCCAGGCCACCCTTCCCACCTTCGAAAAAAATAAAAGGTAGCCACTATGGCTCACACTGGGGAGGCTGAGTTCCAGGCAAGCTTGGGCTACTGAATGAAATCCATTCACGAAAAAGCCAATCAGAAAGGATACTCATGCACTCCGAGAAAACCTGAGAATGACAAGACAGGAAACTCCTCCTTCAACTGGGTCAGCAAGGACCAGATGGACTACACAGCCACACCAATATAAAAAGCTGAACCCATGGGGGGAGGGAATGGGAGGAGGGGGGGAAGGGAAACTGGTCAGGATGTAAAATAAATAAACTAATAAAATAAAGCCAAGTCAAATCTGGGCTGAAGACAGATTTTGTACATCAACCATCTTTAACAGTTGTTTTCAGGGAATAAGCACACTGATAACGAGCACTGCACTCAAGATTTGAGGGTGCCCTCATCTTCTCTAGTGCTCCCCCAACAGCCAATGGCTCTTACCCAGCTTGTACTCGTCGTTACAACCTTGGCTCCGCAGACGCCTGATGAGCTCCAGCTTAGCAAGGTGTGGGCCTCGGACATGGCGGGCACTTTGCGATGCCTCTGTTATCCGATCCTCTATAAACTTCACGGCGTCTTCTGCAGAGCAGTGTACTTCCCCTTCTAAGGAGCTGGAGGAACACAAGGCACCATGACTGCCTCCAACAGGCTCCCCAAAGTTGAAGCTGTACTTTGCTGTTTATAAACAACAAAAGCAGCAGTAACACAACAGTGGCAGAATGCGGTGGGTGCCACACTCTACAAGCCCCCCTGTAGGAGGCAGCAGGAGACCAAGGCAGGCCGGCACTGGCTGCAGAGGAAGAAGACCATGCCTCACAAAGTCAGGGCTCCCAGGATCTGGGAGGAAGAGGCAGACAGATCTCAGTGAGTTCTAAACCAGCGAGGTTTACATAGTTCCAGGATAGCCAGAGCTACATAGAGACCCTCTCACCAAACCCACCCCCACCTCACCCCACACCCCCAAAAAAGAAAAGGCCAATGGCTGGCAGTGTGGATTAGTGGGAGACCACTTGCTTCGCACGCTCAGAGAGCTGGGCACAGTCCCGAACGAGGGGGTGACCCACATGATGTCAAGCAAAAGCCATGAGCCTGATCTAACAGGTAACAAGTTACAAAATTATTCTTAATTTTGACTCCTGGATACTGTAGAATAACAAACCACTCTCACCTCTTTAAAGGTGGCAAGATGGCTCAGCAGTTAACGTGCTTCTATGAGCCAGGACCCACATGGTAGGAGGAGAGGACTCACTCCCACAAGGTGTCATCTGACCTTTGGGCACATGTGGTGGCACACAAGTACACACACAAATAAATAAATAAAGCTTTTTTGCTGTTGTTCTGTAGATCAGGCTGGCCTTAAACTCAGAGATCCACCTGCCTCTGCCTCCCAAGTGCCCCAAATCCTGGGACGAAGGGTGTGCACCAGTACGCCTGGCTAAATGAAGCTTTTTTAAAAACCGTTTTTTAGCCAGGCAGTGGTAGCCCACACCTTTAATCCCAGCACTCAGAAGGCAGGTGGATCTCTGAGTTTGAGGACAGCCTGTTCTACCAAATGAGTTCCAGGACAGCCAGGGATACTCAGAAAAACCCTATCTCAAAAACACAAAGCAAAACATAACAAATTTTTTTTTTAAAAGTTTCAATATAAGCTTACTTCATATCACCTATAAAAAAGAGGGAAGAGGGCTGGAGAGATGGCTCAGCAGTTAAGAGCACTGACTGCTCTTCCAGAGGTCCTGAGTTCAATTCCCAGCACCCACATGGCAGCTCACAACTGTCTGTAACACCAAGATCTGACACCCTCACACAGACATACATACAGGCAAAACACCAATGTATATAAAAGAATAATAAATAAATTTAAAAAAAAAAGAGGGAAGAAAAATTTCTGCAATAGCCTAACTGCAGAGACATTAATAGACTAACAGCAAACATTAATGGATTATGAAACATCTCTAACATCAGATAACTCTTGAGCCATTCACCAAAAAATGAAACAGACTTACATCTACCTACCACCTATGAAATAGCCTACACGTATTTTAGGGAGGAAGACACCACAACAACCAGTATGCCTAATTTAACCCCACTCTCATGTTTCACAGCACTGTGTTAACAAGGGGTAGAGGCAAGGCGCTGTGGGAGTGACTTTTACATTGACAGGTTAAGTGGGACTAAGTACCACATGGGGAGTCTTACAGGGCACACGTGTTTATTACAGTAAAACAAATGGATAATTTGAAAGGAATGTACTTCTGGAAAGATAAAATGTAACTGATGCACAATAAAGTCCTTTTGCTCCACCACACTCAGAAGCACCACCATAATCCAGACATGCTGACACATCTGGGATCCCAGCGCTCAGGCTAAGGCAAAACAGCAATCCCTCTACTGGGGATATAGGTCAGTGCTGAGAAGACCTGCATACTAACGTAAGCCCTGGGGTCAGCTCCCAGTTCACAGAAGGTGAAACCGTAACTCAACAACGATGATAACCACTTGGGGACACAGATTAAAAATCCTCAGGGTGTCACTTACTGTAAACTGCCCAAATCAAACCTTTTAAAATATAACATAGCCGGGCGGTGGTGGCACATGCCTTTAATCCCAGCACTCGGGAGGCAGAGGCAGGTGGATCTCTGTGAGTTCGAGGCCAGCCTGGTCTCCAAAGCGAATTCCAGGAAAGGCGCAAAGCTACACAGAGAAACCCTGTCTCGAAAAAACCAAAAAAAAAAAAATATAACATAAAGGCTAGAGACAGCTCATCAGTTATGAACACCGCTGCACCCACATGGCAGCTTGCACCTGTCAATAACTCCTGTTCTAAGACATCCAATGCCCTCTTCCTGCCTCCCTGAGCACTAGGCACATACACAGTGGAAATATATACATGCAGGCAAATTACTCATATATATTAAATGAAATAAAATCTTTGAAAAAAAATTTAAAAATATGTAGCACATACATCACTCCTTAAAGAAAAATAAAAACTCTTAAGATACAAACGTGAAAAAAAGATGACAACTTACTGTTCCCCTTCAGCAGGAGGTGTCCAGGCCTCTTCAATCAGTCGAAAGACAGAATCGAAATAAGTCAGATAGAACTGCCAGTCATCTGAGCTAAAATCAGATTGAACGATGCACACAGGATTAAACCCAAGTTGTGACAAAGCTGCCTTAGGAACCATGAATTCAACCGATTTTCTAAGTCATGCCCACCTGTACCAGGACCACCCAAGGTGGTCCTGCGGAGGCTGTCAGAGTCTGGGAGCTTTTCAGATACTCAAAGACTAACTTTCTTAACAGAAAATTCCCCCAATGAGCTCTCCCTAAGTAGGAACTGGGATGGAGAGGGAAGAATCCTTAAGGCCAAGATCAAATGTGATACAATAACTTGCCATGCGGTGGTGGCACAGGCCTTTTATCCCAGCACTGGGGAGGCAGAGGCAGGAGGATCTCTTCACAGAGATCCAGGGCAGCCTGGTCTACAGAGTATGTTCCAGGACAGCAGAGTTACACAGAGAAACTTTGTTTCAAAAAACAAACAAAAAGTGATACAGAAACTCGGTGCTCATCCTTAAGACATATCTCAGCCACCACAGCCCAGGCACCATTAGGTCTTACCAAAAACTAAAGCTCCTTGAAAACTTCTAAAACCTCTAAAATGTACCCAGACTCTCACAACATACACCAGCCTCAGTCCTGGGGCCTGGAAACCTTCCAAGGCTCTTGACTCACGAACAATGGCATCAACTCACTTTTTCAACAGGAGGCGTCGGGAAAGAGCGTTGCACTCTGGCCACCTGCTCAGTTTCTTGTACATGGCCATGCATTTGTTTTCCCGACTCTGAATCTCACTTGTCAACTTCTCTACAACGAAAAGTATAAAAGTTGATGGACTAGTTTCATGTCTACCAGAATAAAATCCAATCATTGAAAAAAAAGTCACATTTTTTTTTTTTACTCCCTCAAGAGTTTGAGACCAGCCTGGTCTACAGAGTGAGTTCCAGGACTGCCAGGGCCACAGAGAAACAATGTCTCAAGAAAAAAAAAAGGGGGGGGGGAACCTGGGCCCAGGAGTGATGGTGCATACCTATACTGCCAGCATTCAAGAGACAAAGGCCACGGTAAGTAAATCTGAAGCTAGTTTGGTTGACAGAATGAATTACAGACCAGTCAGAGGTATGCAGGAAGACTTGGTCTTCAAAATAGGACACTTTTAATCAGGCGTGATGGCTCTGGCCTGTAATCCCAAAACTCAAGAGGCCAAGGCAGCAGGATTGCTGTTTGAGGCCAGCCTGAGCTACATGTAGAGTTCCAGGCCACCCAGGGCTGCAGACTTAAGACTATCTCAAAAGAGTCAGGCAACACGGGGCTGTGGTGGCTCACGCCTTTAATCCCAGCACTTGGGACGCGGAGCCAGGCGGATCTTTGTGAGTTCAAGGCCAGCCTGGTCTACAGAGCGAGATCTAGGACAGGCTCCAAAACTACACAGAGAAACTCTGTCTCTAAATACCAAAAACAAAAACAAAAAAAACAAAAAACCACTAAGGCAGCAACAGGCTGAAGAGATGGCTCAACAGTTAAGAAGAGCACTTGTTGGTTTTGCAGAGGACCCAGGTTTAATCCCCAGCACCCACATGGGCAGCTCACAACCATTCATAACAGTAGGCCCAGGAGGATCCAATGCCTTCTCTGGCCTCTCTGGGCACGACTACCCACATAACATGCACTCACATCCACACACATACAGTAAGGCCTGGCAGGAACACGCAGCAGCAGGGCAGTGACGGGGCTAGACACCCAGGACACACTTCTCACACTCTCAGACTGAAGCCGTGGCTCATCTTCAGGTAAAGGTAGCTTGCTGCACGCCACAGAAATATGAAGTAGGAATTCAGCAGACTATGGCAAAGGCTATCAACCTGGAAGAGTTAAGGACTCTTCCAGAGGATAAAGCCAAGATTCAAGGAGTCTTGGTGACATTGGCTTTTGAATATATTAGCCGTTTCCTGCAGTGAATCTCTTGTGTGCTACTGCAGCTTTCCCACTTGATTCTTTTCCCAAGAATTTCTAACAGTGTGGCTGATCATTCACTGGGCACAACTTCCCTATACAATTGGGAGTATTGGTATAACATCCCCAACTGTGCTGACAACAGTCACAGCCAGACCCCTAACTTCAGACCTTTCCGTAATTATTGTCATTAGCAACATCCGGCCAGGACCATCTGCAGACCTAAGTATTTTATCTGAGATACTTCCCAGACTTTCTAAGAACAGACTGCAGATAGATAAGCATCCAGACTATCTGTTAGTTCCTGAGAGAAGGTAAAAATTTACAATGAGACAACTGCCCAGGCCAGGCAGATGTGCTAATTAGCTTAACCCTCCTTTTTTCCAAGTGCTATCTCTAGTTCTAGATCTCCCTTTAACAATTAACTCAGAACAAAAGGGCTTTTACACACCAGGTACATCTAGCTGTGATGCAGGTTGCCTAGTTACCGAGTACACTTCCCCCACCCTACCAGAAAATGGCACAGCCAAGGTTTGGACAGATGAGGCTCCAAAGAAAAAAAGGCAGTTTTATTTTCACTCGTGACTTAGTGACTTACAGACTCCTAACATTTTACCTAACCACTTCTTAGAATATGGTTTGAGCACATCAATTCCCTTTTCAATCTATTAACTGAATTTAACCCTTAGTTGATTCATTCCCCATTAGTCACTTCCTTTTTGGGTTGCAAATGACAGCTGACAGTTACTGCTCTTTGTGTGGATCTTATCACCCCTCCTTTTGACCCTGAAAGAATTCAAGCCTGGTGACCTTGCCTTGGCCAGAGTATCGTTGATTGCATGGGTATATAATTGAAAACCTCAGAGACTTGGGGGAGAATTAAGTTAGGAAGAACAATTTGGAAAGAACTAGGTGGGAAAGAACAGAGATGGGGAAAACTAAGACGAGGTATTGAGATAGAACTTAGAACAGCAGAAAAATGTAGAATCAGGCAAGAAAGGAGCTAAGTATGAGAGCAGAGAAGAAGCTGTGTAGAGAGAGAATTGACTCAGAATAAGTGAATGGACTAAGAGTTTCGTGTACGTAGATTCCTTTGATATCCTTAAAATTAGATTCCTCAGCTGGTTGTTAAGATTCTTCCACGGACCCTGGGAAAAGGCTATTAAGGGGCTGGACCCCAATAGTACTTTTTAATAGCTTAACCCAGGCTGGGCATGGTGGCGCATGCCTTTAGTCCCAGCTTTTGGGAGGCAGAGGCTGGAAGATCTCTCTGAGTTTGAGGCCAGCCTGGTCTAAAGAGAACAGCATTCCCAGGACAGTCAGAGCTACAGAGAGAAACCCTGTCTCAAAAAACCAAAGCTGAACCCAGAAGTCTATGGGCAGCACGAACTGGGCTCAATAGAAAAAACTGGAGGTGGGGGAGGTGGGGGTGGTGGGGGTGGGGAGACAGTGAGGTGGGGGTGACCTAGAGGAAGTTAGGAGGGTGGACAATGAATACAATCAAAATGCACTGAATGAAATTCTGAAAGAATAAATAAAAATTGTTATTGTTTGAGACAGGGTCTCTCTACACAGCTCTGGCTGTCCTGGAACTATGTAGACCAGGAATGCCTCTGCCTCTCAAGCACCGGGAATAAAAATATTTTTAATAGTTTAAATGTAAGTTTAGAACACAGAAATATATAGCAAAGTCATAGGACCTATGACTGTATGGGAATTTCCCCCCCACAAATAATTTTCATCTTCAAATTAAAAACAAAAGAGAAAACTTTTAAAATTACCTCCTAATTTCCCTCTAATGACATCCAGGGCTTCCTGGTACTTCCCCAAGCGTTCCAGGATCATATAGTAAAGTTCAACCTTGCAGAAGACACAAACAGTTGCAGCATTGAGATGTCAGCAGAACACAGGCATCGGTGTATTCGTGACTGTTATTTCACAGAACTGTGTGGGTGACTTTTCCAGTCCACACGCATCTTGGCAGAGTGCACTTCCCAGGGATGGCTCAGCGGCATGGTGCCTGAGCTGAGCCAGTCTTTTTCACCCGGGGCCCAGATGAGGTCACCAGCTACGAGGTGGACACTGGGATAGGAGGCTGTGGTGCAGCCAGGCTGGGGATTGGAGGAAGGGCGTGTACTCACTTCAGCCTCAGCTTCTATCTTGTCTTCTTTCACCATCTTCTCTACCATCCTCTCTGCCAGGGGCAGAAACATGGTTTTGGAGAGATTTTCATCTCGTGCGGATATAGACTGCAATTGGAAAGACAAGCGTTGTGTTCACTCTCTCTCCTGATTGCTCTCTTCACTTCACCATACACACCACACTAGTGACTCTGGCCCCCAGTCCACGGTGCACATATCAGGCCTGAACTGGATCTACCCCATGGATACATGGAACGGAGCTGCCTTAGCATCCATGCATTCCTACAATCCCCGGCTTCCATGACATGCCCGAGTGTTTTGACAGGCTGGTCTGATATTTATCTAGAACTACTCAAAAAGGGGTGTGCCTCTGCTGGGTATTACATACATTACAGGGTGCCAAGAAGGAAGCTGCTTACACTGTGTCTTGATATGTTAGCAGCTAGAATAGGAAACATGCCAACTCTATCTACATACCCAGCTCTTACTATTAGCTAATTACCATATAGCCATCATTTTAAAACCAGGACCACTGTTAAGTGGACAGTGCAGAGATTCTGCTCAGGAAGCCAACCTGGGGTAAACTAACAGGACAAGTGAGAGAATACCAGGCTGCCAGGCATGATGGCCACCTCACCTGTAATCCCAAATTCAAGAGGTGGAGGCAGCAGGATCAAGGTTGAGGTCAACCTAGGTTACACAGCAAGATCAAGGAGAAACCCTGTCTCAAAACAACACAAACACTAAATAAAGGAAGCCAGAAAACTGTCTCAGTGGTTCAGAGCACTGGCTGTTCTTCCAGAGGACTCAGGTTTGATTCCCAGCACCGACATGGTGGCTCAAAACTGTTTGTAACTCCAGTTCCAAGGGATCAGATCCCCTCTTCTGCCCTCAGCAGCCACCAGGCTCACACATGGTGCACAGATATACATACAGGCAAAATACCCATACACATAAAATAAAATTTAATTAAACAAAGACTACCAAGTATCCCCAACTTGAAAAGCCAAGGGGTGATCCGTCAAGACCCTCCTGACACTTGGTGCAGCAGATTACCCAAGTTCAAAGCTCATTAGCGACAATGATGGTAAAGATAGACTTCAGTCCCATCCTGGGCAGATAGATACTTACTTGCATGATTAAGCTCATCACAGACCAAAAGTAGTAAGGGTTTTTGGGGACAATCTTATACAGAGCCATGCCAGCCTGAAAGAGGGAGAGGTTAATTAGAAACCATCAGATAGACAACAATCAATCAACTGAAAACGAAAACAAAAATAAATCTGGGTGTGTGGCACGTTTCTGAGGAGACCAGCAACACAATTACAGACTCGAGTAATATGGTGGCAGTGCCTGGTAACCTCATCACTATGGCAACATCAGTAATCATAAATGCCAAGTTTTACATCCTGAGTGACAGTTCAATTTTGAACCTTTGCAGTCCAAACCCATAAAATGGACGTGACAAAGTACAGTTCTAGGAAGACTACCAAAACCCACCACATTTGACCATGAGCGTCCATCAGTGTGATGCAGGTGGAGTTCAGCTGGTAGAGTGCTTGCCCACCATGCACAAAGCCCTAGGTTCGACGCCTACCATTGCAGACACCAAGCCCAGGCACGGGGACTCATGCTTGTAGTCTCAGGCCCTTGAAAGACAGAGGCAGTTCAATCGTCCTCAGCTGCACAGGGAGTTTAAAGTCAACTTGGCTGAGACCCTGTCCAAGCAAACCAATTCAGTTTTCTCTCAACTCCTTGATTTTCTTTGTTGTTGTTGTTTTTTTTGAGACAGGGTTTCTCTGTGTAACAGTCCTGGCTCTCCTAGAACTCGATCTGTAGCCCAGGCTAGCCTCGAACTCACAGAGATCCGCCTGCCTCTGCCTCCTGAGTGCTGGATTAAAGGTGAGTGTCAGCACCGCAGCAGCAGTCCTCACTGAAGACACTGAAAGAGCTACAGCAAAGCAGAGCCACCAGCCAGGAGATGGGCTTGATGGAAGTAACAGGTCCTTCTAAGCTATCCATAATTACAACTAACCCCACTAGCCAGGCATAACCGAACATGCCTGTTATGAACATGGCCTCCGAGAACATGAGGTGGAGACAGGAGACTCAGAGTTCAAGGTCATCCTCAGCTACATAGTGAGTGAGCAACATAAGACCCTGTCTCAAAAAAAAAAAAAAAAAAAGGAAAAAAGAAAAAATGACTAGCGCCTTTATACAACATGCCCACACTTGGAGCAGACGCAGACAGAGGTAACTATTATTACTCAAGCATACTTGAAACTGAATTGCTGTACCCACATCTCTTCAAACTCAAGAAAAGAACCTTTTCCAGGCATGAGCAAAATCCAGCACAAACAGAATTTAGAGCTCCCGGGAACCCGGCTCCACCAGCCTTCCAGTCAGATGTCCTGGGAGTGATCTCAGTCCCTTGCTCCCCCAGAGGCTAGCAGGGTCTAGTGGGTGATGATGATGGTAAATGCTCTCTACAGCCCCCTCATTTCCTGTTTCAGCTTCCTGAGGAGTGTGGTAAACACAAAATGAAAACCACACAAATAACTCATTGGGGTGGTGTGTGTGCATGCATATGCATTCATTCACATGTGTGCACATGCACATGCATTCATTCACATGTGTGCATGCACATGCATTCATTCACATGTGTGCACAGGCCTGTGGAGGCCAGAGGGCAGCCTCAGGGGTCCCTCCTCAGGAGCTGTCCACCTTGCTTTTTGAGACTGGGTCTTTGCTGGGACCTGGGGCTGCTTGTCAGTTAAGCTAGGCTGGCTGGCCAGAAAATGACAAGGCCTGTGTACCCCCTCCTTAGCAATGGCATTTGTAATTCCAAGCCCCAATACTGGACTTACCTGGTACTGGGAATCAAACTCCAACACCATATTTACATGGCAAGCATTTTACCAACTAAGTTTTCTCTCAACTCCTTGATTCTTTTTTGTTTGTTTGTTTTCTCAAGACAGGGTTTCTCTGTGTAGCTTTGGAGGCTGTCCTGGATCTCGCTCTGTAGACCAGGCTGGCCTTGAACTCAGAGATCTGCCTGCCTCTGCCTCCCGAGAGCTGGATTAAAGGCAGAAGCCATTACCGCCCGGCCCAACTGCTAGCTTCTTTTCTGGGCACAGGGTATCATGCAGCCAAAGCTGGCCTCAGGCTTGCTAAGTAGCTGACAATGGCTCTGAATTCTTGATCCTCCTGTACCCATCTCCCAGGTGCATAACACACATCTAACCAGTTAAAATTTACCTACAATAGAAACGTGTATGAAAATACCATGTACAGGCTGGAGAGATGGCTCAGTCATTAGGAGCACTGGCTGCTCTTCTAGAGGATCTAGATTCAGGTTCCAGCACCCACAGGGCTGCTCACAACCGTCTGTAACTATAGACCCAGGAGATCTATAGTTGCCTTCTTCTATCCTCCTCATGCATACAAGCAGCAACACACACACACATACACATACACACACACATACACACACACACACACACACACACACACACACACACAATAAAAATAAAAGGGGGCTGGAGAGATGGCATGTATTGTTCTTCCAGAAGGCCTGAGTTTGATTTCCAATACCCATGTCAGGCAGGTCACAACTGCCTGTAACTCCAGTAGCAAGGGGATCTGGTGCCTCCAGCACTTACACACACATACACATAATAAAAAGTAATAATCAATGAATCAGTCAATTAATAAATACATAGAATCCCATGATGGGTGATTCCAAGAAAAGTGAGCTCACACACATGGTGTCCTTCCCTCCTTAAGAGAAAATGGGGAAGTATCACTCTGAAAACAGCATTTCAGATGCATCTCAAAGGACAGAGTGAAGCTCTAGGCCAGACTGGAGACATTTATGAAGATCAAACATTTGAGGTCAACAGGTGAGTAAGTCATCAATTCTCAGTAGGGGAAATGAGTTTGAATAAAATCAAAGTGAGTCGGGGTGAGAGAGGGCTCAGCAGTTAAGAGCCTACTGTCCTTCCACAGGACCCAAGTTCCATCCACGGCAGACATACACACATCAAGAAAATGAAGAGGCCGGGGCAGCTTAGTGGGAGAGCACTGGCCAAGCACCAGAGAGCCTGGCCCCAATCTCTAGCACTACCAAAACCTCAAGGAGTCAAAGGCTGGGCTTGGCACTAAGAGGTCACACCCAGCACATGAAAGGCCTATGTTCTATCTCCAGCACCAAAAACCAGACAGGAAGGAAAACAAGTTCATGAGAGACACAAGAAGGTCTGCTACTTTGAAAACTTACGTAAATATGAGGATATAAATGCTGATTCTGAGGAAGGACTTGTATTACTACAGTATCATCACCCTGTCTGACTTCCTACTGCTATAGTATGATACTGCAGTAAAGGAACAAGGTAAACCAAAAACTCAATTTAAAAAAAGGCTTAATCCCAGTACTCAGGAGGCAGAAACAGAAAGCTCAAGCCCGGCCAGATACTGCTTATTAAGTTCAAAACCAAGCAGGGCTCCAGGAGAGGCTTTGCCATCAGCAGGGTTTTTTGTTTTGTTTTCTTTTTGAGACAAGATCTTGAATTCATTCCAGGGCCTTGAACTTCAACTCATTATGTAGCTAAAGATGACTTCCTGATCCTTCCTCCATGTACTTGGATCCTAGGCATGTGCCACTATGCCAGATTTACCCTACAATCCAGTCAAAAATCTATAGAACACTACACTGAGCTGGGTGTGGTAACCACACCTCTACAATCTCAGCTACTCAGGAAGTTGGAGGCAGAATGATAACAAGCTGAAGGTCATTCTGGGAAAGAAAGGGTCTTTCATGGCGCCCAGGCTGGCCACAAACTCATTATATAGCTAAGGGTGGCCTCAAACCTCTGATCTTTCGGCCTTCACTTCCACAGTGCTCAGAGGACAAGCATGTACCACTCTGCTCAGCTCACACGATGTTCGAGGTAAACGCAGAGCTTTGTGCACACCTGGCAAGCACTCTGACCCAGCCACACCCACAGCCCTAACACAACTTCTAAAGGGCTAAGAACACAACCAAAAGTAACGTCTGCCTAGTATGCAGACCCCGGGTTTAACCCACTATGCCCCAAAAAACAGAGAATAAATAAAATATTAGCCTAACATTCTTCAAACGTACACAAAGAACTCCTAAAATCTGACCAAATAAGCCACCTCTGGAAAGCAAGAATTACGAATTTCAGCCATGGGGACTTCTCCCCTGGTGAATTTATTTACTCTCAGAAGGCTAAAGCAGCGCAATTAACTGGATGTAAACTTTAGAGCAGCTGTCTACTCTGTGCTATGATTTCTCCCATTCACTCTCACTCAACAGCAGTGTCACCTGGGAGCAATCTAAAGCTGACCAAAGCAAACCAGAGCAAACACATCATCAGCCAGCCAGAGGCACAAGCCACGTCCCCAAGTAAAGCATTTCAAAGCCTTGAAAACTATGTAACCGGCAGATCACACACACTCACACACACACTCACAGAGCAGCTCAATCACACCCAGGAGCCTGTGCATTCGGTTACCTGCTGCATCTTCTTGTACTCGCCCACTCTGGCGTAGGCCATGAAGAGGTGAGAGTGATACTCCTCGCTGTTGGGAACCTTCTTCACGGCCGCCTCATAAAGCTTTGTGACTAACTCCGCTAGAGGAAGAGAGGCAAGGTTGGGTTTTGCTTCCAAGAGAGAAAATCCTAACCCTCTTTGTTTGGTTAAAACAGGTACTCTCAACCTTTCTAAGGCTGCAACCCTTTAATACAGTTCCTCATGCTGTGCTGACCCCACCATAAAATTATTGTTGTTACTACTTCATAACTGCAGTTTTGCCACTGTCGTGAATTGTAACGTAAACATCTGGTATGAAGATATCTGACTGTGACCTCTGTGAGGAGGTCGTTTGACCTCCAAATAGGTCTCCACCCACTGGGTTAAAGGGGTCCTCCTACCACTAAAGGATTGAGGAGTACTGCCCCATCTGAGCACTGCTCTTCTGCTTAAGTGTTGTTGGGTTTTGATTTTGTTGTTATTGTTTTTGGTTGGTTGGTTTTTTTGTTTTGTTTTTCGAGACAGGGTTTCTCTGTGTAGGTTTGCGCCTTTCCTAGAACTCACTTGGTAGCCCAGGCTGGCCTCGAACTCAGAGAACCGCCTGGCTCTGCCTCCCGAGTGCTGGGATTAAAGGCGTGCACCACCACCACCCGGCGGTTGTTTTTTCTGTTTGTTTTTGGTTTTTCAAGACAGGTTTTCCCTGTTTAACAGCCCTGCTTGTCCTGGAACTTGCTTTGTAGAGCAAGCTGGCCTCAAACTCACAGATATCTGCCTGCCTCTGCCTCTCCAAGTGCTGGGACTAAAGGTGTGTGCCATCACATCTGGCTTTAAGTGTTGTTTTGATGAAGCATGGATTAGTCACACCTCCTCCTTTCTGTGCCATGAACTCGCTCTGGCCTGTGTCCTTCCAAACTCTCTCTTTGAGCCCTTCACTAGGTAGTGACATCAACTGTAGTTCTTCAGGGTCCCCTGTCATGTCCTGGGCTTCTATGCCATTCCCACTGCCCAGCTTCTTCTGTCCCTCTTCCATTCAGTAAACCCTACGTAAGTACCAGTTCCAGGCAAGGACCCAATTCAAATGACAATCCTCTCTGCAGGCCTCACCCTCAACAGTCTGCCTCTCCTCCCTGTCTGAACACTGACTCTGCTGTGTTAAACCCTGACTAAAAGAGAAGGTCTTGATTACGTGTGCAGTGCATGCCTGTGATCCCAGCCTTTGGAAGGCTGAAGCTGGGAGACAGCAAGTTAAAGAAAGGCCTGCCTGTGGACTGAGTTCAAGGCTGCCCTGGCCTAGTTAGTGAGACTGAGCTCAAAATAAAAAAACAGGTTGAGGACTGAGAGTGCACCTTAGTGGCCGAGCACTTGCTTAGCATGGGTGAGGCCCTGGGTTTGATCCCCAGTATCACAGAAAGAGTCAACATTATCTTTCTTTATCTTCAAGCAAAACCAACTCTCTCTGCTACAACAGTTCTACTCCTAGCTGTGGTGGCAGCAAGGATGAATAAGCCCTGGCAATGGACGTGCATTCAGCAGGCCAGGCGGGCATCAGACCACAAGTGCGCTACACAGAAGCACCCAGCACAGACCCATGAAACCCAAGATAAACTAAGAGGGACACCGTCACACTACAACAGCAGGACAGAGAGCTGAAGCCTGCGGAGGGCCACAGATGCGACTCGGGCAGAGGGACCGTCCAGTCTGGGCAAAGAAGAAAGGGAAGAGACAGATGGTAGGCAGCAAACAAGTCACCAAAGTAATTCAGGAAAGGAGATACTCCAGGGAAACGGAGCCTCAGCTGGAACATGGGAGGCTTTCCTGGTGTCAACAGTGTTCTAATCCATTCTGCCTTTCCCTACTTCTTAGTGTGTGACTGTGGGCACAGCAGCCATGTGGGTGAGGAGAGTGTGTGCACAGCAGACATGTGGGTGAGGAGAGAGTGTGCACAGCAGCCATGTGGGTGAGGAGAGTGTGGGCACAGCAGACATGTGGGTGATCAGAGTGTGGGCACAGCAGACATGTGGGTGAGCAGAGTGTGGGCACAGCAGCCATGTGGGTGAGGAGAGTGTGTGCACAGCAGCCATGTGGGTGAGGAGAGAGTGTGCACAGCAGACATGTGCGTGAGGAGAGAGTGTGCACAGTAGACATGTGGGTGAGGAGAGTGTGTGAACAGCAGACATGTGGGTGAGGAGAGTGTGGGCACAGCAGACATGTAGGTGAGGAGTGGGCACAGCAGCCATGTGGGTGAGGAGAGAGTGTGCACAGCAGACATGTGGGTGAGGAGAGTGTGGGCACAGCAGCCATGTGGATGAGGAGAGTGTGTGCACAGCAGACATGTGGGTGAGGAGAGTGTGTGCACAGCAGACATGTGGGTGAGAAGAGTGTGGGCACAGCAGACATGTGGGTGAGCAGAGTGGGTGCACAGTAGCCATGTGGGTGAGGAGAGTGTGGGCACAGCAGACATGTGGGTGAGGAGAGTGTGTGCACAGCAGACATGTGGGTGAGGAGAGTGTGGGCACAGCAGACATGTGGGTGAGGAGAGTGTGTGCACAGCAGCCATGTGGGTGAGGAGTGGGCACAGCAGCCATGTGGGTGAGGAGAGAGTGTGCACAGCAGACATGTGGGTGAGGAGAGTGTGTGCACAGCAGACATGTGGGTGAGGAGAGTGTGTGCACAGCAGACATGTGGGTGAGGAGAGTGTGTGCACAGCAGACATGTGGGTGAGAAGAGTGTGGGCACAGCAGACATGTGGGTGAGCAGAGTGGGTGCACAGTAGCCATGTGGGTGAGGAGAGTGTGGGCACAGCAGACATGTGGGTGAGGAGAGTGTGTGCACAGCAGCCATGTGGGTGAGGAGAGTGTGTGCACAGCAGACATGTGGGTGAGGAGTGGGCACAGCAGCCATGTGGGTGAGGAGAAAGTGTGCACAGCAGACATGTGGGTGAGGAGAGTGTGTGCACAGCAGACATGTGGGTGAGGAGAGTGTGGGCACAGCAGACACGTGGTGGCTCGAGGACCACGCTTGGAATTTTCTTCTCTCCTTCCACTGTGGCTCAGAGGACTGAACTCAGGTTGTCAGTCTGCATGGCAGTTTTTACCTCTGAGCCATCTTACCAGCCCAATGACGTTCTACTTCTTAATTACAGGATCACTTCATGAGTATTCATTATGACTCATCAAGTTTACTAGACCATTACATAAAACAATGTATTTCATAATGAAATATTTAAGAAATTCAAATGGGGCTGTAGTACGGCGGCATATGTCATTAATCCCAGCAGTAGGGAGCCAGAGGAAGGCGAATCTCTGTGAGTTCCAAGCCAGCCAGAGCTACACAGTAAGATCCTGTCTCCAAAAAAAGGAAAAGAAAAAGGAAGGAAGGAACTCATTTTGACTCTCATTTCAAATCAAGGAAGCTAATGCATTTAACTATCCTGGCAAAGCTCTTCAAAGGCCACGACCAAACATTCATCTATCTACTGTCATCCACATAGGTCAGGGAGACATGGAAAGTCACATACGCCGGTGCATTTCCCGGTAGAGGATCGTCAAGGCCTGCAGGGAGTTGTCATCTGTGGGCTCAAGGGCAGCCACCTCCTGTGCCAAGGTGAAGGCTTCTTCCTGTTTTCCTGTTCTCTGCAAACCAATTGCCTTGAGAACCTGACAAGAAGAAGAGAAAAATCAGCTTCCATGGGGAAAGAAAAGCTAAGGCAGAATAGAGAGAGTCCCAGGTCTGCACCTGGGCTACACAGTGAGATCCCATCCCAGAAAAGCCAGGAGGGGGTGAGGGCGGGGCCGGGAAAGTGCTCCTTGGAAGTACTACAGCTGAGCACCTGGGCTACATAGTGAGATCCCATCCCAGAAAAGCCAGGAGGGGTGAGGGCGGGCTGGGAAAGTGCTCCTTGGAAGTACTGCAGCTGAGTCTGATGCCTGTGGGTCAACACTCACTCCTAATCCCAGTGCTGAGAAGGCAGAGGCAGGTGATCTCGGGGCTCAGTAGCTGGACAGCCTAGCCTACTTGGCAGGTTCCAGACCAGTGCAACTCTGTCTCAAAATAAATAACTAAAGAGGTGGGGACGGAGAGCTGGATCAGCGGTTAAGAGCACTTGCTGGTCTCTAATGAAGACCAAACTAAGGATCCCAGCACTCATGGCAGGCAGCTCACACACCTGTAACTCCAGCCCTAGGCGACCTGACGCCCTACTCCAGTCTGCACAGGCACAGAGGAGAGGGCATGCGCACAAACACATAAATAATAAAATCTTTTTTTTTTTTTTGAGACAAGGTTTCTCGGTGTAGCCCTAGCTGCCCTGGGTCTCACTCTTTAGACCAGGCTGGCCTCGAACTCAGAAATCCTCCTGCCTCCTGCCTCCCAAGTGCTGGGATTAGTCCCATCGGCTATAAAATCGTTACAATGTAACCAAAACCCATGAGTGCACATATGCACACACCAGACAAGGAAACAACCACGAGCAGAGCCAAGGCGGAAGCTACAAGGACACGGAGCTGTGATCAACTACACCCGTCCTCACAGAAGATAAACAGCAACTCCAAACTCCTTCTTACCCCAGTCTCAATAAAAGTACCTAATGCTGTTGGAGGGTTTTGGGTTTTTTTAGTTTTTTTCGAGACAGGGTTTCTCTGTGTTGTTTTAGTACCTGTCCTGGATCTCGCTCTGTAGACCAAGCTGGCCTCGAACTCACAGAGATCTGCCTGGCTCTGCCTCCCGAGAGCTGGGATTAAAGGCATGCGCCACCAGGGTCCAGCTCCAGTAATGTTTTTTTTTTAAAGATTGTGAAAATACCAAAAAAGTAGTATCCCAAAATATACACAGTTAAGCTTCAATGAAGTACTCTCCATGCACTATAAAGTGCTCAGGACAGTAAGTAATGCACAGGGAGGGGGGGAGGGCTGGCAAGCAAGAAAGCTGGGGAGCCAGCCCGGCTCGGTGGGCAGAGAGACTCCTGCAGACAAGCCTGGTGACCTGACTTCAGTCCCTGGAACTGACATGCTAGAAGGAGAGAACCAACTCCAGAAAGGTGTTTCTCCTCTGCCTTCTACATGCTCTGCACTGTGCCATCTGCACAGCCACGGGGAAGAAAGGGAGGGAGGGAGAGAGGGAAAAAGAAACGGGCCTGGGAGGGCAAAGCAGGAGAATCAGAACTTCAAAGTCATTCTCAATTACGTAAGACTATGTCTCAAAAATACAATACAAAATACAAAACAAAAATGAGAAAGAATTACAAATACAATCATAGCCCAGTGTGGTGGCACAGGCCTTTAATCCCAATACTTAGGGGGCAGAAGCAGGTGGATCTCTCTGAGTCTGAGGTCAGTTTGGTCAACACATCAAGTTTCAGGCCAGCCTAGACTACACAGAAACCCTGCCTCAAAAAATAGATAAAATATTACCCACAAATAGAAGTAAAGAGCAAATGGGGTTACCTTTGCACAGTGAAGATCTCTGTGTTTCTTCAACAGTTTATCAGCTTGCTGAATTGCCATTTTATTATTCCCATTATCAAGATAATCTATGAAAAAAAATCAGGGTATCATAATCCTTCACCAACAACCATGAGAAATACAATTCCCTTTGAGACCTTCAGACATACCCTCATTGTTTTATTTAAAACACCATGGGCCAGGCAGTGGTGGCACACACAGGCAGTAGAGGCTCAGGTTAGCTTCAGACTCACTATGTAATCCAGGCTGGCCTTGAACTCACTGAGATCGCAGGTGTGTACTGTGCAACACCCCACCCCATCCTTTCACACCTGCCCCCAGTTTAGGATTGTAAATTGAGTGGCTGAGGCCAGCCTGGGGTACATACATAGCAATACCACCTTTTTTTTTAAGTAGACTCTCTCTTAGACTAGTCATCTTTTTTTATTTAAATTAACTTATTTTATGTGCATTGGTGTTTGGCCTGTATGTGTGCCTGTGTGAGGGTGTTAGATCCCCTGGAACTGGAGTTACAGACAGTTGTGAGCTGCCATGTGGGTGCTGGAAATTGAACCTGGGTCCTCCGGAAGAGCAGCCATGCTCTTAACCACTGAGCCATCTCTCCAGTCCCTTTTTATGTTTTGTTTGTTTGTTGTTTTTTAGACTAGTCATCTTTGATGAGCTCGAACTGTTAGGGTGATTATTTGATAAACATCAAACCTGAGGTCAGGACTAAGGACACTTCGCTATTCACTCTGAAGGGGACAAGGCTCTGAATCGATAGACCAATCTGCCCCGGCCTCTGAGAAGGGGCTCCACTGGGGCTGGGAACGTGGTGACATCATATCTAAAGCACAGAATTGCAGCCCACCCCAGGGTGGACATTTGGCCCAAGCCGGGTAAATCAGGTTTCTTCCCGGTAACCATTAGCTACAACACTAGAAGTCTGCATTAGAAAGTCACGGGCAACCCCAAACGGAAAGGCCTAACTGTATGGATGGAGTCTACGGTTATCAGTGGCTGTTCTACAACTTCCACGCGGAAGCTTCACAGGATAGAAACAGGATAATGGGAACAAAGATGATGTCACCTTCAGGCTCTCTTCATGTAAGAAAGGAAATCTTTAAAAAAAAAAAAAAATCTTCCTTTATCCAAAATCCCCTGCTGGGACTGGAGTGATTACTGCTTTTACACAGGACCAGAGTTCAGTTCCTGCACTAACATGGCAGCTCACAATTCCCTTGAACTTCTGCTCCAGGGCATCTAATGCCCCATTCCGGCCTCTTTGGGCACTGCACACATGGGGTATATACCCACACAGACACGTTACATACACATAAATACACTTAAAAAAATACAAAAATTTGTAAAGAAGGAGCCACCTTGATGAAGTCTGTCTGTGGGGTGAGGCTAAGAGACCCTCCCTCCTCTGACCCACAACTTTAGTATGGCTACAAAGCCAACAGGGTCTGCCCTGAAGAACACAATGAGAAAAGAAAATCAGTCTGATGCCGGTAGTGGTGGCGCACTCCTTTAATCCCAGCACTTGGGAGGCAGAGGCAGGCAGATCTCTGTGAGTTCGAGGCCAGCCTGGGCTACAGAGTGAGTTCCACGACAGCCAAGGCTACACAGAGAAACCTTGTCACCAAAAAAGGGGGGAAAAAGTTGGTTTTCAACTTACATTACTGAGTCTTTAATATAAATCACATAGCCCTTGAACAAAAGAGGCCAGTTACTATGATATCCTAAGTGAGTAAACCTTTTAAAAACTTATTTAGGGTAATTGTGGTTTGGCTGGGGACTGCTGGTACCCCTTAGGAAAAGGAGTCTGACAACTGAGACTGCAGGAAAACAGACAGACAGACAGAAAGGGCACTGATTACAGTGCAGCTTCCCAGGGTTCACAGGGCAGCACCAGCCCAAGGACAGGCATTCTTTCGGGTGTGTGGTCCTCCCAGACCGACTAGAGAACCCACAGCAGGACCCCAGGGAGGACTGGGACCCACAAGAAGGCTTCTCTGCAGCCAGCCTGGCCCACCTTGCCTTCTCTCACCTTCCTGCTCTCTTTCCTAGTGTCTTCCTGTTTCTTTTAAAGAAGGAGGGTGCAGATAGGAATTTAGTGACATTTGTTTTCATTGTTTCCTCCCAGCAAGAGATACAAGTTTCCATTACTAATAAGGATATAGATTATAATTATTGGGGGAGGGTGACATAGGATTCATGCATCTTGGCCAGAACTATGTAGGCAAGGATGACCTTTAACTTTTTTTTCTGATTTGTTGTTTATCTTTTGCTTTTCCCTTTCTTTTAGAGACATGGTCTCTATGTAGCCTTGGCTAGGTAGAACTTGCTATGTTCACCAGGCACCAGGCAGCGGTCTACCTGCCTCTACCTCCCAAACACTGGGATTAAAGGGAAAAAATATTACACTTAGGTATTTATTTGTATAAGGGTGGAGTACACATGTCCACAGCATGAGTTCAAAGCCAGTCTGGTCTACATAGTAAGTGTAAGTTCCAGGCTAGCCAGGGCCACAGGGTGAGATCCTGTCTCAAAAAAAAAAAAAAAAAAAAAGAAAGAAAGAAAGCCGAGTAGTGGTGGTACACACCTTTGATCCCTCACCGAGCATAGCCAGGAGAATCTCTGTGAGTTCGAGGCCAGCCTGGTCTACAGAGTGAGTTCCAGGACAGGCTCCAAAGCTACACAGAGAAGCCCTGTCTCAAAAAAAACCCAAAAAAAAAAACAAAAAAAAAGAAGGAAAAAGGAAAATGCCAGTCTGGAATGGTGGTTCTTCCTGATAGCTGAGCTATCAGGAAGATGACAGCCTGGGCCATAAGACAAGACTGTGTCATCAAGTCCAAAGTCTATCTCCACATGGCCCTGTTCATCATTTGTCCCCATGGTAACCACTATAAACCATTCCCCATGCCTTGCCCACTTTGATGGACTATATCCACTCACACTAGGTCTAACAGCTTTTCCATCTTTTCAAAGGGAGCAGAGGGGCTGGAGCAATGCTCAGTGCATAAGGCTGCTCACCCACATGGCAGCTCACAACCAGCCGAACTCCAGGGGATCTGACACCCTCTTCTGGCTTCCACAGTGTCCAGGTGTGCATGAGATGCACAGACATACATGCAGGCAAAACACTCAAACACATTCAATAATAATTAAAGTAGCAGCAGCAGCAGCAGCAGCAGTAGTAGTAATACATTAAAAATACTAACCCTGTAGTAGTAGTAGTTGTAGTAGTGTTGTAGGAGTAGTAGTAGTAGTAATACATCAAAAATACTAACCCTGAAAAAAAATCTAACCCTGTGGTGACAGATTGTGTACCTTAATAAAATTTGCCTCAACATCAGAGAACAGAACAAGCCACTAGACTAAACATAGATGCCAGGCAGTGGTGGCGCACACCTTTAATCCTAATACTTGGGAATCACACGCCTTTAATCCCCGCACTTGAGATCTCATGCCTCTGCTACCAGTATTTGGGAAGCACACAGCCTTTAATCCCAGCACTAAGAAGGAAGTGATGGCTGGGCGGAGAAAGGTATATAAGGCTTGAGGAGACAGGAACTGAAACCTTTTCAGACTGAGGAGTCCTGGAGGTAAGACGTGGCAGTGGCTTGTTCCTTTGTTTCTCTGATCTTCTGGCAAATTTTATAAGGGTACACAATATAATCACCACATAACCCTATTTGCTACCCAATATTCTGAGCTCTCTTAAAACACAAGCCTGATGAATGGTTAACTCCCTCAGTGTTCTCTACTGCCTTTTAAACTAGAACAAGAGCTCAGCCATCTACAACCCCAGCATTCAGGGAGGGAGAGGCAGGAATGTTGGGTGTTGAAGGTCTTCCCTGGCTACAAAGTTAGACTGTGAGCAACCTGGACTTCAAGACTGTCTCAAAAAATAAATGAAAAGGCAAACCTCTCAAAGGAAAACCAAAACAAGCTTCCTGGTCTTGGAACAGCTTACAAGGCCAAGTCCTTGTTCCTCCACTCTCTGGTCCTGCTTCCGCTCTAGCCCCTCTAAATCCCAGCACAGAAGTCTTCTGATTGTGTCCTAAGCAGGCCATACCCTAGGGGTCTTCATCACTATTTCCCTCATTCCACATTCAAAGTAGAACATTACATCCACAAGGCTGTTTCAAGACCTGCTCCTAAGAGCCCAGATGCCCACACTGCATGATCTCGGGGCAAGCCACACTTTTCAGAGCCCTCAGCACAAACACAGCTACTAAACAAATGTCTGCGCTGTCAATGGAGCTCAGTGGACCCCAATACCTCATAAGACTGCAATGTGTGGCAGAGTCTGTGATCCCAGAACACAGGAGAGGCAAGAGGATAGGAAGTTCAGGGTCATTCTTAGCTACACAGCAAGTTCTAGGTCACCCTGGGCTTTATGAGATACTCTCAAAAAAAAAAAATATGTGTGTATGTGTGTGTGTGTGTGTGTGTGTGTGTGTGTGTGTGTTATAGCAGTAATACACATTATGGTAAAAAAAAAAAAAAAAACCACTTGTAGGTAGGTCTCTCATGACTGTGATTCTACTATCCTCTATCCCACGTAGAACTTCTTCAAGAATTGTTTTTTTTCTCCCTGCTCCAGTGCTGGAGACTGAACCTGTGGCCTGCACACACCAGTCAGACACTATCACTGAGCTACATCCCCCATCTAGACATGGCTTTTAAGTAGTTATTCTTTTACTACAGAAGAAAGGATGTTGTACCAAGTGGAATTTCTACAGAAAGTCTAAGCAGGGGCTGGTATACAGCTCAGGAGGTCAAGTGTTCATCATCCAATCATGAGGATAACTACAGTAGCATGTATGTATGATCCCAGTGCTGGAGAGGCAGAGACAGGACAGTCGCTCAGGGTCTCTGCTAGCCTACACTCTCTGGCAAGCGCCAAGCCATAAAGAGACCCAGAGTTTAAAAAAGCCAGGTAGATGGTGCCTGAGGGATGACACCGAAGGCTGACTTCTGGCCTCCACATGTAGACACACTCACACACATCCCCACACACCGAATGATACCTTGTTACTTCCGAGACTCAAACAATTAAAACTACCCAACAAGCCGGGCGGTGGTGGCGCACGCCTTTAATCCCAGCACTTGGGAGGCAGAGGCAGGTGGATCTCTGTGAGTTCGAGGCCAGCCTGGGCTACCAAGTGAGTTCCAGGAAAGGCACCAAAACTACAGAGAAACCCTGTCTCGAAAAACCAAAAAAAAACTACCCAACAAAAGACTCAGAATAACTATCACCCTTGACTGAGCACTTCCAGTTTTTATTAAAGAGCTACAGCAGAGGAATCACCTGCCCTAAGATTTGACCAGACATCCAAGGGAGACAGCCCACGTCCTGAAAGAAGCGACTGTCACTGGAGACTGCTGGCATCATGCTACACCTGACCCTAGAGAAGACAAGACTGGGCGCACAACAGATTAGAACAAAGGAGTGAGTGTGTGTGTGTGTGTGTGTGTGTGTGTGTGTGTGTGTGTGTGTTCACGGGCTGGGGCTGTGCATGGAAGTCAGAGGTCAACTCTTGAGCACTGGTTTTCTCCTAACACCATGAGCGTCCCCAGGACGGAACTCAGATGAACAGCTTGGCAGCCAGCGCGATTACCGCTGGGCCATCGCCCCGCCCCACCATCAGTGGGAATGGTAGTAGTAAAAAGCACTGTGCTCACCCACTCAAACCAAGGGACGACCGGTGAGAACTACCCAGCAAGAGGTCATTTCAAGAAGGCAGGAGGATGGGGTGGCACTATCCTTTAATCCAAGCATTCATGTGACTGAGACAGGAGGGTCTCCAGTTTGAGGCCAGCATGAGAAACTTAGGGAGCTCCGGTCTGGACTATGAGGGCCCTGTTCAACCCCAGCCTAACACTTCCCCCTACCCCGCTAACCCCGCTAACCTGTCCAGCCTTCGGTTCCTACAGTGACCAGCCCTCAGCTAATGCAGTCTGTGAACATCAGGCCATGGCTGAGCTCCACGATGATGAACTTGCTCATGGGTCAGCTAGTGCAGCCTGGATTTAAGGATTAGCCGTTGTTTAGGAGCATCAATGTGTTTGAACAATACAATCCAGGCGCTCTAAAGGCTGCGGCAAGGCTTACTCTGCCACTTCGTATTAGGCCCTCAGAAACCCTCCTCTACTCTCTCCACTAGCTGGAACAAAAGCTACATAATTCAGACTTCAGCTTTGAGAATATGACCTGTCACTTCTGGTTAATAAATACATCCTGATGTTTGGCAATGTGAAATAATGTTTTTTATTGAACAATTCAAAACACTATTAATTGTAACTGAATGTAAGACCAACAGGGTTCTCCTTGGTCTTCAAGAACAATGTTATGAATCTAATTATTCTTAAGTTTTGAGTCTTTTGTAAAAGTTCAGAAAAAGGAGAAGTCTGCAGGCGGTATCTGTGTAAGGGTGTGATTCACAAACCATGAACCCTAAATTTAGGTTTTACTTTCTATTACCCAGAAGCAGAAGGGCAGCTGCAAGCCAGAGGCTAGCCTGGTCTACACAGGGACGTTTCTGCCTTCTGCAAAGGCAGAAGAATGTGCAGCAATGGGGAATCGGAGGCCTCCTCCTGCTAGCCTTCGCCTCTGTGGTCTACAGCAAATCAAAGTGATGCAATTTCTAGCACAGTGGTGAGTTAGACAGTGTGCTTGGGCCGGGCCACGGTGGACCATACCCTTAATCCCAGCACTTAGAAGGCAGAGGCAGGTGGATGTCTGTGAGTTTGAGGCCAGCCTAGTCTGCAGAGTGAGTTCCAGGGCAGCCAGGGCTACACAGTGAAACCCTGTCTGGAAAAAAACAAAAAAGACAATGTATCTGGAGTTCAAACCCAAGTTCAGGAAGTATTAGCCCTAGAGAAATACATAAGAACAATAAAATTTGTTTCTCCAGCTGTTTAGGTGTGTGTGTGTGTGTGTGAATCTGTGAGGTTAAATGAGATAAAAGCCCAGGTAAAGCACAAGGATACTGACTGACTTAAGAACCTTATCATAACTGACTGGCTGTTCTGAACCTTCTTTTATTATCATTCAGTGTACAGGGCCACAACGCTAGAAACAGGTAATGTGAAGGTAAGCCATCACATAACACAGCACCTAAGGGCCAGCGAGATGCCTCAGCAGGTGAAGGTGCTTGCTGCCACTCGTGACAGCCTGAATTTAATCCCAGAATCCACATGATAGGAGAGGACCAACTCCCTCTTGCAAGGTGTCCTCTGAACTCCACAGGCACGCAGTACCATTGTGTGACCACACCCACCACACCCATTCAAAACATATTTCTTCAACAAGTGTAATTAAAAAAATGCACCAAACACATATATAAAATTATGACCACTGGTCGGTGGTGGCGCAGGCCTTTAATCCCAGCACTCAGGAGGCAGAGTCAGGTGGATCTCTATGAGTTCGAAGCCAGCCTGGTCTACAGAGTGAGATCCAGGACAGGCACCAAAACTACACAGAGAAACTCTGTCTCAAAAAAAAAAAAAAAAAAATTATTACCATTATCACTGGGCATAGGGCCACATGCTTGTAATCCCAACAGCTGGGAGGCAGATGTATAGCTGAAAGTTTGAAAGGTGTATGTAAGGAGTTCCAGGCTAGCCAGGACTACTTAGTGAAACCTTGACTTAAAAAAGAACAGCCAGGTGATGGTGGCACATGCTGTTAATCCCAGCACTTGAGAGGCAGAGGCAGACAGATCTCTGAGTTCAAGACCAGCCTGGTCTACAGAGCGAGTTCCAGTACAGTCAAGGTTAGGCAAAAAAAAAAAAAAAAAAAAAAAAAAAAAAAGTCTCAAAAAACAACACAAAGCCAGTGTGATGGTGGTGAGTCTTTAATCCCAGCATTGAGGAGGCAGAAAGCAGGTGATCTCTGTGAGTTCCAGGCCAGCCAAGGGCTACATAGTATGATCTTCTTAAAAAAAAAAAAAAAAAAAAATTGAGAAAAAGGAGCTGGAAAGAAGGCTCAGGGTTTTTTGTTTTGTTTTGTCTTGTTTTTCCAGACTGGGCTTCTCTGTGTAGCTTTGGAGCCTGTCCTGGAACTCAATTCTGTAGACCAGGTTGGCCTCGAACTCACAGAGGTCTGCCTGACTCTGCCTCCCGAGTGCTGAGATTAAAGGCCTACCCCACCACCGCCCGGCTAAGGCTCAGTTTTTAAGACCACTGGCTACTCTTCCAAAGGACCCCACTTAAGAGTCCCAGCACCCACAAGGTGGCTTACAATAATAGTCTGTAACTCCAGTTCTAGGAGATCCTAATGCCCTCTTTGGGCACCAGGAATGCACACCAAGTGCACCGACATTATGAAGGCAAAATACCCATAGATGTAAAATAGTGGAAAAGAGAGGAAGAAAAAAAAAGGTAAAGGACAAAGAAAAAAAAGGCAAATACCAACTTGCTAGAAACACAAGCGACCACTCTGCCAAGGAAAAAAAAAAGCCTAAAAACAAATTAAAAAGCCAAAACGCAGTGCCACACTGAAAACGTGAGAGGTCTACTTTAGCAAAAATCACTGACCTTGAGCCTTCCCCATCATTACCTGAGACAAGACCATACAACCATCAATGAGGAAAAAGCAACGCAAAAAAAGGAACCACTTCCAATAACAGACCAGCTCAGTTACTGCAAAGTGTTTCTGACTCAATTCCGTCATTCTTTCATCCCACCAGGGTTAGGAAGACGACATCAAGGTCCATCTTCCAGCCTGTGGGTTTGGGGCGAGCGCCGTGGGGAGGGGGGACCCCACTAAGCACGCGGAAGGCAAGCTGTAGAGAAAAACCTCAGACACGGTGCAGAAAGGAAAAACCTCCCAGCAGCCCGGGGCCCGCACCTCCGACACCAGCTATTGCCATCTCGTCCCCGCTATTCTGGGCCCGCGACCCCCTCCCCCCGCCTCCCACGTGTGCCCAGAGCAGCTGTTGCTGCAGCGAGGAGCATGAGGATGGGGTTCGAGCTGGGTGACCTTGCATCAGCCCCCTTCCCTTCTCGGGGCCTCAGTTTGTCCACGTGCACCAGACGATACACCCAGTCAGACAAACCCCGGGTCCTGAGCCTAGTTAACAGAACCACTATGACTGGAGCATCTCCCCTTAGGAAGGCGCTCCCACCTCATGCCGGGGCCGGTTGTCACCTGCAAGAATGACCACGGCCTCCCTGGGAGCGGCTGGATGAAAGCGACCTAGTGGTAGCGCTGATCTCGCTGGAAAGGCGCGTCCCGCGCGTCCTGACAGCTGCGCGCACCCGCCGATGCCACCTCAGGGACGAGCGTCGCCGGGCCGGAGCCTACGCGAGGCCGAGGCTGCGGCCTAGCGACCCGCGCGGCCCGCCCCCTCGCCGCCCCAGACCGCGCGCGCCCCCGGCGGCCCTCCGGGGCCTTCGCCCGGGGCAGGGCAGGCCTCGGCTTGCCGCACTGGCCAGCAGGCCGGCTCCAGGTACTCACCGTAAATGGGCCGGAGGCGCCGGTCGTTAGGGTCCTGCACATGGCCCCGCGTCGCCATGATGACAAGCGCAGAACCGCAGTGCGCACGCGCCTGGCAGCCCCCGGGGAAGGGGCCGTTAAAGGGCCAGCGTCGATCTCGCCCGTGTATCGCGATAGCGGAGGGGGCGCTGCGACGGAGTACGCCTGCGCAGAAAAGGAAGCTCGCCTCCCCTTTAATTGGCGCTGTGGTTTGATTTTTGCCGGTAGAATAATCTGGCCCCCAGGGGCGGTTGATGGGGTTGAAGGCTTTTTTTTTTCCCCTTGAGAGGGAGAGGCGTGGAAAGCGAAAACGCGACTTAATTCCATTGACGCTGCATCTTGAAGAACCAGTTGGTCTTGGCTTTGATTCTGGAGCTGCCGGGAACTCCTGGAGGAGTTCTGAGAAAGAACTGAGAAAGAGAGCTTGCTCAACAGTGAAACTACAGAAAGTTTACGAGCCCCTGCCCTGAACTCAGTTCCCGTGTGTGTCCAGACACTAGTGAAAGCTGTTTTTAATGAGATAGTTTAATATTCAAAATGCGCTAGACGTTATCATTACCTTTCTTCTTTACAGATTTAGTCACACCACACAAGGTTATGAATGCTAATTATTTACCAAGTCATTTTAGGCGTCAAGAACTACAAGGAGCTTAAGGTGCACACTTTTAACCCCAGCACGGGGGTGGGGGGGAGGCAGAGGCAGGCGGATCTCTGTGAGTTCGAGGCCAGCCTGGTCTACAGAGCGAGATCCGGGGCAGCTAAGGCTAGGTAGAGATCCTGTCTGAAAAAAAGAAAGAAAAAAAGAAAAAGAAAAAAGTTTCCCTACCAGGTGGTTGCCTGCAATTTTGTTTGCTGACATTCCATATAAATCTTCCTCCTTACACTAACAATTTTGCCCACAATTCATGGTGCCTCTTCTCCAGCAGCATGTTACAACTTGGCTGCCCTGACACTTGTACAGAGAAGTGAAACTAGGTTGCTTTTTTCTTTTTTTTTTTTTTTTTTTGGTTTTTCGAGACAGGGTTTCTCTGTGTAGCTTTGCGCCTTTCCTGGGACTCACTTGGTAGCCCAGGCTGGCCTCGAACTCACAGAGATCCGCCTGGCTCTGCCTCCCGAGTGCTGGGATTAAAGGCGTGCGCCACCACTGCCCGGCTAGGTTGCTTTTTTCAAAGCCACTGAGTAGTGGTATATAAGGTGTATACATCTCTATAACCCCGGCCCTGAGGAAGCTAGGAAAAGCGGATAGAGTCAAAGCCAGTCTGGGCTAGCTACATACTAAGACCCTGTCTCAAAGGAGAGGGAGAGAGAGAAGAAATGATACATGTTGAAGTCGATTTGGTGTAAGGATTTAAAACATTACACAATGTATACTTGTGTCACAAAAATACATAGTATCTTATACATATGTATAACTGTTTTACTGAGTCAACTTTAAGTTTTGAAGGCTTAAGATTGACTATTTCATGTGTGTGTCTGTGTATATGTGTGGGGGCACTCCACTGCAAATGTGGGGGGCAGGGTGAAAGAACAGTTCTCTCCCTGTACCATGGGGATGTTGGTGACAAGCAACATCAGGCATGGTGACAAGCACCTTTACCTTCTAAGCCATCTTGCTGCCTGTCCTTTAGAAACAATAGGAAAAAAGCAGATACTAGAGGCACACGTCTTTAATCCCAGCACTCAGGAAGCAAAGGTAGGAGGATCTCTGTGTTTGAGGCCAGCCTGATCTACAGAGTGAGTTCCAGGACAGCCAGAGCTACAAAGAGAAAAACCAAAAAAAAAAGGACCCAGGTTCAAGTCCCAGCACCACAACTGTCTGTGACTCTAGTAACTCTAGTTCCAATGGATCTGAGGCCCTGTTCTGACCTCTAGGCACTGCATGCCGGTGGTGCACAGACATACAGACAGACAAAATACTCATACACATAAATAAATAAATGCTTTAGTTTTTAAAAAGTTTACATCCAAATGAAATACACACCAGAATCAGCACCCACACACCACACACGACTTGCCCTAGGCTCAGAGGTTTGGTTTTTTTGTTTTGTTTTGGTTTGTTTTTTTTTTTTGTTTTTGTTTTTCAAGACAGGGTTTCTCTGTGTAGTTTTGGTGCCAGTTCTGGATCTCGCTCTGTAGATCAGGCTGGCCTCGAACTCACAGAGATCCACCTGGCTCTGCCTCCTGAGTGCTGGAATTAAAGGCACATACCACCACTGCCCGCTGACTTGGAGGTTTTTTTAACTCAGTAGGTCTGGGGTAGTACACAGAATTTTTTAAATATCTGTGTGTGCGTGTGTGTGGGCATGTGTGCCTGAAGAGCCCAGAGGAGGATGTCAGCTGTCCAACTCTATCCTTCTCCATCCGTACTCACTTGAGACAGGGTCTCTCAGCTGAACTTGGAGCTGACTCGTTTTTTTCAGCTGGGCTGGCAGCCAGCAAGTCCCTCCAGTCCCCTGCAATCCCCGTATCAGCTCACAATCCCACCCCAAGCATTGGCTTTAGACACACTAAGTTAAACCCAGCCTTTCCATAAAGATCAAAGTCAAGTCCTCATGCTTGTTCGTCAGGCTCCTACCCATCGAGTCACAGCCTTGACTTACTGTTTTTTTCTTTTTTTCCTTTTGGTTTTTCAGAGATCTGCCTGCCTCTGTCTCCTGAGTGCTGGGATTAAAGACGTGTGCCACCACCGCCGGCCATTTTTTTTTTCTTTTATGTGTATGAGTGCTTGCTTACATGTATGCCTGTGCACCACATGTGTGTGTGTGGTGCTATCAAAGGTTAAAAGAGTGTGTTGGATCCCCTGGAACTTGAGTCACGGCAGGTTTTGAGCCACAGAGTGGGTGCTGGCAACCAAACTCTGGTCCTGCAGAGGAGCAAACAGTGCTCTTACCTGCTGGGCTAGCCCTCCAGCCTCTAGTTCTGGATTTTTGAGACAGGGTCTCATGTAGCCTAGCCTGGCTTCAAAGTCCTGATCCTCCTGCCTCGACTTCCTCAATTCTTAAACTACAGTTGTGTGCCACCACACTAGCTTGGGGTTCTGTTATGATTGGTTTGGTTTGCTTTTGTGCTTCCGGGAAATTGGACCTGGACCTCATGCATGCTGGGTGAGTGCTCTACCACGAAGCCACATTCCCAGCACTCTTTTTACTTTTGATTTTTAGACAGGGGACCACACTGAATTGTCCAGGCTGGCCTTGAACTTACTCTGCAGTCCAGGCCATCCTCTTCACTCAACCTTCCAGGAAACTGGACTACACACCTGCCCCACCGTGCCAGCCTGATTCACAGCGAAGTCTGTGACCCAAACACTCTGCTCGAGATCAAGGCTGAGCAACCTGTTGGCCAAATCCTAATAAGCTTAACACTTCTTCTTGTACAAACCTTGAGCTAAGAATGGCGTTTTTACTTGTAAATTGATGAAAAACCAAAGTCATTCTTGCTGGGGATGTCAGTGTGCATCTTTAATGCCAGCACTCTGGAGGTAGAGGCAGACAGATGTCTGTGAGCTAGAGGCCAGTCTGGTCTATTCAGCAAGTTCCTGGACAGCCAGAACTACATAGAAAGACCCTGTCTCAAAAAAATTTTTTTTTTATTTTAAATTATATGTATATGTCTGTGTGGGTTGGTGCAGATGAGTACTAGAGCCCAAGGCGGCTAGAGGCATTGCATTTTCTCTGGAGCTGGGGTGGTGGTTGTGAGCTGCCCCACATGGATGTTGGGCGACTTAGATCCTCTGCAAGAGCAGCCAGTGCTCTTGCCTGCTGAAGCATCTCTCTGGTACTGAGGCTCTCTCATCTTCTATTTATCTAGTTTTCATTTTAAGGCTTTTATTAGCTATGTGTGTGTGTGTGCATGAGTGTATGCCCAGGGGTATGCACAAGCACACAAGAGACCCAGGAGCGGCATCGGGTCTGTTGGCTTCTGGCCTCTCTGGTCACCAAGCACACATGTGGTAGCAGACATACAAGCGAGCAAGCATTCACACAGATAAAATAAAAATAACAACAAATAAATGGATAATGACAGCTGCAGTTGACTTTGAACCTACACACACACACACACACACACACACACACACACACACACACACACACACGCACACGCACAAGCACACACACTAATTAAAGTAAATCTTGCTGAGCCCTGCTCTAGATTGTCGAATGGTCTTTAAACAAGCAAATAACCCAAAGATAAAGTCCCCTGAGCCAAGCACCATGACGCTTGGCTGTAATCCCATCCTTTGAAGATGGAGAGTTCAAGGCAAGCCTGGGCTATATGAGACCTGATCTCAAACCAACCAACCAACCAACAAAGCAAAGCACCCTACCTACTATCCATACCAGGTATGGTGGTCCACACTTTTAATCCTAGCACTCAGGAGGCAGAGGCGGGTGGATCTCTGTGAGTTCAGGACAGCCTAGGACTACAGAGAAACCTCGTCTCAGAAAATTAAAAAAAAAAAAATTGAATGTGTAGAGCAGAAAAACAAACCACTTTTGGGTGTAGGGAGAGGAAGGATGGAGCTGAGCTGTCTCTGTTCTCAGTGTAGCATGGGACCAGCCTGGTAGCTAGCTCCCCAGACTTGGCAAGGCTAGAGGTACCAGGGACCTCCTAAGAGAAGCTTCCAGCCCTTACCGGCTACCTGTCCTTGTACGCTGAAAGTCTGCTTAGGGTCTAAGCAGGATGAATCATACCTCCTGCCTTTCCCATTCCCATCCTTTGTCTTCAGACCCTGAGAGGGAGGCCAGGAGCCAATTGTGGGCCTGTCCTTACCTGCCCTGCAGAAGGCAGCTTCTACACCCTTTCAAAGAAAGGCCTGAGTCATTTCAGGGCCGGAAGGGACGCCCTAGGATGGTAAACACCCATGTCTGTTCTACTGTTGGGAACCCAGAACATCCACAGATGACACTAGGGGCATTATGAAAAGTGTTTGGCATGCAGTAGGTGCTCATTAAATGGTGCCTTCAACTTCCCCACTTAGCTCAGAGGAGTTACCTCATTTGGGGCAGAGCTGCTCTTGGGAGAGTCCTTCTTTGTAGGACATGGAGGTTGCTGGGTGCATTGCACTGGGCATCACAAGCTGGGGGTACAGCTTTTTTTTTGGGGGGGGGGGT